TTTGGCAATAGCCAATGTTGCTTGGGTCCTCTCTGCTAAACGCGGTCAATTTTACCCTTATTTGATTGGGTATGAAAAGAGCCAGCGGAATGAAGCATGAATAACCTACCTCTTCACCCAAAAAACCGTAGAACGGTTTCAAGCATTCATCCCTTAAAGCTGGCCTGTATTGCAGATTATTCGCGTAGAGGTTGTCCTCGTCACCGAAGCTCATGACCCCGGTGAGAACGCTTTTCCACACAAACCAATTCCCTTTAATCAACTTCGCTTTCGCCGATTCAGTAAAATCTAGAATTTCGTGGATCACTGCGTTCGTCAACCATGGTCCACCTCTGCTGGCCTGCTGGGATAAAATCCACTGATGTGGAGTCGTCGCCCCGTCTATTAATACTAGAACCGGATTTCCTGGTAGCAGAATTGTAAGCATGAAAATTAGTGGTAAAAATGTATAATGTGTAAACATGTGTTAAAAATGTCTCACACCCAGTGAGGGGATGGCGACAGGAGGTTTTAATTGAGATAAGGGAGTGTCAACTCCCTGATCGATTATGAGAGGACTAAGCTTAGTGGCGATTAGGCGTCGCAGAGCGCCAGAGAGCGCTGTAAAAGCGACTCATGTATGTATGCAAATGTTAGGGATGTATGATGTAAATACATTTTTTAACTTTTTTCCGTTAATTCGGATCAAAACACTTTTTCTTGTTTTTTAACCTTTAGCGAAAAATACTAAAAAGTAACACGTTCAATTTTCAGGAATGGATTATTGTCACCGCGAGATCTCNGAGAACAACACCTTTCAAATGAACCAACGCCCCTCGCAATTAGTACAGTGGTTGATTCACAATTTCATTCTATTTTTCAAATTAAATATTAAGATGACCGAGGGTACCAGGTCGAAACGTCTCGAGTTTATTTGTGTAATTTTAAACTTGTTTCCTACTAATTTTGTTTTGTTTTTTGAGATCTCTTGAATATATGTGTATGTATTACGAGACCTTAAAAACAAATCAATTGCGTCCGGACTAAATAGTTTTTAACGAAAATGTAGCAGGAAAGGCTCTATTTCCAAGGATAATCGAAAACACAGGAAAATGCGGAAACAAGGCTAAAATACAAAATACAAAGGCAGGACGAATAAAAATAACGAATAAAATACAATTTCAATACCAATTTCACTATGTAACGCCATTTGCTGGTTTTCATTTTAATTTCTTTTTTATTTTTAATGCTATTTTAGCAGTTGAAAATGGTGCCGTAAGGTACCAAAACGTCCTGCCTTTGTATTTTGTATTTTAGCCTTGTTTCCGCATTTCCCTGTGTTTTCGATTGTCGTTTCTGTTTCGGGCTGCTTTTACATTCTCTTTGTTTTCCAAGGATATCTTACCGAAAAACTTGTTGAGTATTCTTGCAAACTTATCCAAGCACACGATCAGGCTGGATTGCTTCTTGTGCCGCTCGATTGGCGCATCGTAGCATCTTTTTACGAAGTTTTTCGTCGTTGTGTCCTTCAGAAGCTGTAGGAAAGGGTGCATGTCGATAGAAGAACGGAGGACGCTGTAGAAACGTGATCTGAATTCGAGGAGGCTGTAGAACGAGCTCAGTTTCTCGAAGTCCAAGTAGAGAACCCCGCGGGAGCCGAAGAGGGTAGAGAAGGAGGCCCAGCCAGTGATTTTCAGTTTTCTATCGATGAATTTTCGGGCTGTAGGCGATTCGGATGGTGGTTTTTTGATCCCGCTGGCGGACACGGGGGTGTTGAAGAAGCTGTAGATCATCGCGAGGTTCACAGATTTGCCGAATCCCGGTGGGGCGGTTATTAAAATAGGCTCCAACGCCGAGCTATTGTCGAATAGAGCCTCGATGAGGAGACTTTTGTCGATGAAGTGGTCTTGATTGACGATTTGTAGGAAATGGTTAATGAACCCCTCTGTTGATCCTGTATTCCTGTTTTCGGGACTCTAAAACATGGAATGAGTCGGATAAAATGAAGATCAAACAAACGAGACAAATCTACACGAAACCCCTCACCCACACTGAAAAAAATAGTTCTATTCATAGGGCCTCTGCTTTTTCTTTGTTACGGCTACAAAAGTTTTCAGCATGAGGACAGAGTACTTCGTACGCACGACCGAAGTTCAGTTCTCACAACAGAAAAGTTCTGTAAGCATAACAAAGAAAGTGCAGGAGGAACCCTAAGAATAGAAGGTTCTGTCATCAGCACGGACAACTTTTTTTTTGCTTTTTGCTACTACATTAGCAAAAGCCATTGTTTCCTTCCTCTATCTTTGTTACTTTGAAACGTAGGATACTTCGGACACAACTGAGCGAACTGGACGTATCTACATTAGACCTTTTTAAAGAAGGTTTATCTACTTTAAGTATGAATTTGGTCAAACTCCTGTCGCATGTAGGTTGGGCTTTAGATGTTGGAAAGTCAAGACGGAGGCCTTGGGTCTTAATTTTTTTGTCGATATCTTCTCTTCTGTTAAGCAGCAGATACACCTACGAGTTAAAAGCGCTTTTTGTATATGTAACACCAATAGGAAACCAGGCTTTCGATCTCTCGACGTCGAACTATCGAAACCCTCCTTGCCTATCGGTATTTCACTTTCAACGAGCGCTTGTACTTCGCAGATGTATATGGACCTTAAACAGAGCGGTGCGAAAGCGGAATCGCATTGCGCAAATCATGTAGCATCTACGCGTATCGTAGAGAAAAATACTTTAAGGTGATTCGATAGACGCCATAATTTATGTCAGAACGGCATGCGATATATCGCATCAATTGGTTCCATTTTGTCAGCTACTCGTCATTTTTCTCCAATTTTGAGATCGCAATTCTGTTGTCAGGAGACTAGGTACACCAATCACTTACCAATTTTAACAAAGAAATTCAACGTAATAAAGGCGTGGTTTTTTCAGAGAGAAAACATAGCATTCGATACCGATATCGAAACTGCACTCGAATGCGATATTTTCTCTCTAAAAAAACCACGCCTTTATTACGTTGAATTTCTTTGTTAAAATTGGTAAGCGAGTGCTTTAGTCTCCTGACAACAGAAGTGCGATCTCAAAATTAGAGAAAATTGACGAGTAGCTGAAAAAATGGAACCAATTGATGCGATATATCGCATGCCGTTCTGACACAAAATATGGCGTCCATCGAATCACCTTAAGTTTCTACGTTCTTTAATCACGTAAATTGACGTTTTTTTTGAGAAAACAAGGGGGGAGGGGTCCAAAATCTCTTGACCCTCTCTTCCCCCTTTGCCCCCTAGCTATACCACTTTTTATTGTTTCCTGATAGTTCACTCAGGTAGTTTCTATTCTCTGGCATTTGCTCCCTCTCGCCCGTAAACGACTCAAGAGATTGTCTTACTTTTTCCGGTCTCATCGTCTTGCTAGCCAACTTTTGAGTCTCCAAAAATTCTTCCTTCAGCGTTTCGTTCGTCAGCGGATGGCCTGATCCCGTCCCTCTATGAAGCTCTGTAAAAAAAACCAGGGAATGTTCGGGAAAAATCTCTTTTTTATTAACCTATCAAAGGCAAGTATTTAAATCGGGCATTTTCTTAAAAAGGCTGCTGATCAAATTTGATGATTTACAACGTTTTGCATTTGACGAAGATATCTTAATTTCTTCAATTTTCCAAACGCAATCATTGATCAAGAACGTTTTCTTCGTTAATCAAATCAACTAGGGGCTTGTGGCCACTACGCGGTCGCCAATCAATGAAGGAAAACTACACGTAAAATATTACAGAACGACCATATTCAAGTTATTCAAAAGCCGACGGGTGCACTCGAGTAAAGCGTATTTATCTCCGGTTGCAACGTCATACCTTGCAATGTTATTTTTAACCAATGCCTTTAAAAAGCTACACACAGTAGGTATCTCTGAAAAGTTTCCGCGAATTTTCCTGACTGATCTCAAATAAAGACATCGAAATTTTTGATGCGATATTTTCGTTCGTTCTCCTTTTTTTAGGTACCTAACCAAAAAAAAAAAATTAAATAACATCCGAGTTTCTGCATTGTTACAATGAGGTACATGCTTCCCCTTTCATTATGGTAAAAACCGGAGCAGAGGGTCAAGAATGATGACACTTAGTCCTAAAAGAAAAGTTAACAAAAATCAAGAAAATCTCCAGGATCCTTCGAGTATTGTAGGCTCGCGTTGTACACTGGTTGGATACTGTATCCGCCGCACCGCAAATGGTGGGTCTAACACCGAGAAATTACAACGATTATAGCGCGCACCGTGCTGTGCGCGCAATTCGTGAAGTATTCGTACAGTCTAATATGCGTATCACGCTAATTGACCGACTGCAGTGCGATTGGCGTAATGCGAGAAGTATTCATGCAGTCTTGTAGGCGCTAGCATGCTTTCCACGCCGACCGCACTGTTTGGCGCAATGCGAGTAGTATTCCTACAGTCGTGCAGGCGCAAATATACGTTTAACGCCGGCCGCACTATGTTGCGAGATTCTTCGAACTCGCTTTAGGGTATTCGTGGCATCGAATAATGGTGCTTAAAATGTCCATATTGCGTTTCGACGCCGTATGAGCATTTCAACGTTGCCTCTTTTCTCCTGATAAAATAATTTTTCCAAGAAATGTTTGGAAATTTCTCTATAATGTTCATTTTTTTTAGATGGAATGGACCATGACAAGATACAAATGTAAGCACTCTGATACATGATTTTTCACCAAAATTTTACTTAAAACACGATTCCCCAAACGAAAACTACTGAAATTAATGAACACCCTGTTTATAGATCCTTTTCCATAGGTTTAAAGGCAGATCAATCGATACATCGCAAAGTACGCCACGCCACTGTTTCTAAGGGACAACAAAACATGAGCGGAGAGTTACAACGTCACTATCGAAGATACGCATTTTTCGACTTAAAGCATCGATAATAATTAACGACTCATAAAATGAAAGAAGAAAAGTCTTAATGCATGAAACTGTCTCTGAAGGACGAATCGATTGTATTATTCCAAAAAAAACATTGGAATGGAAAATGAAGCTACTCAAGTATACATTGAATTAAGACAATGGGTTCTACGAGTCCACGATAGAGATTTTTGCGCTACGTGTTTCCCAAAAATTGCTGCTCCTAATTTGAACGAGAACCTAAGTTCCATTATTGTTGTTTTCCACGAGAAGCGGAAAGTCAAGCGATTCTCATTTGCACATCAAAGTGAAATTACAGGTTCGTTCATTACATGTAGTCCTATTTTCTTTACGCATACGTTCCAGTGAACAATTTAAAATTTATAAATCGCCAAAAAACTTAAACGATCTCAAAATATACTGGGCAATAAATTAGGACAAATCCCGGACAAATCATAGAAGTGAGGTTAGAAGATAATGGATTTTTTTTGGGAACTTTCGTTAAGACACAGCTTGCATATTCAAAATTGTTTTTAAAAAATGAACATGTACCTCAAAAGATGAGGAAATGTCCTAAAAACGAGCGATCAACAGTACTTGGTAAGGAATATAGTTCCTCAATTCATTTAACTTGACCGCAGAAACATCAGCTACATTTAAAATTTTGTTAAATTTAAATTAGCCAACAGGTCCTGTTCCGGCATAGTCAACATGAGTTCCGACAGCTCAGTAATCAAACGAGTGTGTCTGGAGGCAAAAGCTGGAAGTCCGGCCGTTAAATATCGGATACAGCTCTTAGACGAATCTTTGATTGACGAAAGTGTAGAGTTTTTGGCGAAGGAACTATTGCCATCGACAAAAGGTTACATGGCGATTATTTCAAGTCTCGGTACGTGATATCTCTGTGAAAATTGAGAATGAAAAATATTCCAAATATAACCAGATCTTTACGTAGAGAGAAGGATTTTTTCCCCCATCACTCACGCTTCTCCACGTGGGTGCGCGACTTACTAAGGCTATTAAACAAATCTAGTTTTTTTTTTTTTTTTTTTTTTTTTTTTTTTTTTTTTTTTTTAATGGCAACATTTTTGAACGGTGAGATTGAAGGTATTCTAGTGGGCTTTCAGTGTTGAATTTGTAAATTCCATAAGAGAAACTCTTATTTTAAGGATCTCAGCGACATTCCACCTTAAAAGGTTGACAATATGTTTCCGGGCGAAAAGAGACAAAAAAGGTCACCGTAAGATCAATCGATAAGTACATCTAAAGTAACATGACAAACTGATACATATAACCTCCGTTATTGGAATCAGTTCCAGTTAAGAAATTAGTAATAGCTCACAATGCACAGATTCGGCAGTAGTATATTTCTTTATCCCAGTGACGTCATTATTATTATAAATCAAAGTAATATTGACAAAATATTATGACTATTAAACTATGTAATGATTTTTATCCCAATCTCGCACAGGTTTCTTGTCAGACAAAGATGCATGCGACGAAATAAAGAGTGTATTAAGAAAACACTTTTGCGAGGGAATCTCCTTAGCAGCTTTGCTTGAGGATGACTCGGGAAATTGTGGACCTTTGATCGGGTGTAATGTTTTGTTTAAGGAGAGTACATCAGAGGTATGTACGTTTAGAACTTAATGATTTAATAATAATATACTATGTAACCTCGCGCTAACCCTATTATGATTCAATCTGTTGATTTTGCTATGATCAATTTAGGAATGACGATGTCCGGTTAAAGTAAAACCGGTGAACGTGCGAACCGTCGGAAGATTCATTGCTTTCGTCAGTGAATAGCTAAGGCAATCAAACGTTCCTCACGAAATCAAAATTTAATAACGGAATCGAATTGATCTCTATGCCATTCGGTTTGTATCGTGGCACAACTAAATGTCTTAGTGGTGATCCTTGCCGGCGACAACACTTTTGGCTTCCTCGCCCATTTACTTTTCTTGTTCGCTGTAGCAAAGTTTGCTTCAGACCTATAAGGTGTCCGAAAGGTCCCATCCCCCCGCCCCATCCTCTAACTTTTGACCTATAATTGAGCTAAAGTTTTGAAACTTGGGGGTTGTTCCCACGTCAAAGAGTGCTACTTTTTTTTTCTCTCTCTATGTGCCAAAATACCACCATATTCCATGTTTCAGAAAAATCCATCGGCAAAAACCAAGTTGCCGATTCCGGCCATTTTGAACTTTAACCGAACGCCATTTTGAAACAATTAGAAGTAATGACTTTGGGTTTACGCGAAAAAATGTTCTTTTTCCGTGCTGTTTTAAACGAGTTACCACAAAGGGGATCGTCCCATTTGGAAAAGAAAGTTGAGGTCCGGTAACCCTCTCTCCCTCCTCCCCAAGGAGACCCCCATAAAAATTTTAGGTGGACCTTTGACCTCATCCCCCGAGTTTCAAATCTTTTTCTCAGTTAGGTCAAAAGTTAGAGGGGGAAGGGACTTTACGAATACCCTGTATTTTGACTTTTCCACGAGTCAGGTCCATTCCCTCGTGGAATGGTTTCTGATTATTCCATCATTCCAATACTTTTTCAAACTTCCAGAGAGAATATCGGACGGATAAAATGAAACTATTCTACCAAACGTGGGCCGACTTAAAAAAAGGGGTGGACGTGCTCAAGACTTTCAACTGCTCGGACTTCATCAATTCCTGCGGCCTCTCGGTGGCAAGCGACTTCCGGGGTCAGGGCATCGCGACAGAACTCTTAAGGGCGCGTGCTCAAGTCTGCCGGCTCACCAACATCCCGGTCACCGCGAACGTCTTCAGTGGTCCCTACTCCCATAAGGCGGCCGCCAAAGCAGGCTTCCAAACGCTCTCGGAGCTCGACCTCAGTACTTATCGGATAGACAACAGGATCGTGTTCCCCGAAGCGAGAGGATGGCCCACTGCTAAGTACATGGCCAATAAATATTTTTAGAAAGACACATTTTAATTTAGGAGCGTGCACGTAGTACGTCGCCTATTGAGTTCTTGTAAGTGTCAAGGATTTGGGTTGTAAATACTTTTTCTCGTGGAAAATTTCGCGAGACAACCGATGGTGCTACTTAGAGTAGCTACGAAGTAGGGGAGAGTAAGGACATGTTGAAATGTGGAGCACTCAGGGCCCAAAATGGCAGAAAACCTTTGAAAACGAAAATATCATTAGATTCCAATATCAAACCAAAATGGCCGAGAATGTTCATAAATGAGCGTCCTCCCGTAATAATGAGCAAATTTATGCGAAAATTATGTCAAATACGTGCGCTTTACCATCGACCGGTTGCACTAATTGGACGTATCTCTGGAACTGATATCTCTGGAATCTATATCTGGAACTAAGCGCCCTAGGGGGAGGAAGGTAGAGGGGGGCTTGGATTGACGGCGGAACCGGGCGTCGGGCTCATTCCGTCCTATACTCGCAATGCTTTTCCATGGCGCTCAGGTCCGTTTGACAGAACGCGCTATCAGGCATTCTAAAATCCTCAAAAGGAACCCAAATTGGCGCATCACCGTAGTTAATTATAATTCATAGATTGGCTATTCTCTCGCGCCCTAAGAGCTCCATCATCTATCCTCAAAATTACCGACCTATCCGTACTCTCCCTATAGGTACTCTACTACTCTGCCGTGCTAAGGAAAACCGCCGTATGAGCCTTCAGGCGTTGCCAAATTTCCTCTCGCAAATGACTAATTTTCAGGAAAATTTTTGAATATTTTTCTGCCAATTTCTCAGAAAATTTTGTTTGTGATTTGATCTAAAGTGTCTGAAAATTTCAAGGAAAAATATTCATAATTTTCCTAAAAAAAGCATTTTTATCCACAGAAATTTGGCAACTCTCAAATGTTCATACGGCGTTCTTCCTCAGCACGCCAGCACTCTAGTGCCACCGTTCTCTCCGAAATCAACTCCCAAGCTCTACAAGTTGAGACCGTAATGGAGGGAACATCCTATGCTACGCTGAGAGTCCACCACTACATCTAGTCAAACTCTCCATGCACAGACAGGGAGCAGGTACATTAGCAGGGTTGCCATTTTGATTGGGAATTTCACGCCTGAACCTCGGCAACCCTGCTAATGTATTTGATCCCTATGGGGGGTATGGGGAGTTTGACTGGGTATTGAGGTAGACTCTCACTAACGCCACAGGACATTTGCACAAATGGTTTTGTTTTTGTGCAAGCATTTCAAAATCATGAGTTGAATAACGCTGACTCCGCCAGATTGAATATTAGAGCCTAACACAAAGCGGAGCGGCGACGCACTGGCGCCTACAAACCTAACAGGGATACTTCACGCATTGCGCAACGCGTGAAGTATCCCTGTTAGGTTTGTAGGCGCCAATGCGCGTTTCGCGCTGGCTACCCGCCTGCCGCACCGCAGCGTGCCACGGCGCTTGAAGCAACTATTTCACATCAGAGGTATTGCACAGTATCATACGAAACTGAAGGCGCTCTAATATATTAGGAATGGCAGGCATCCATCAAAAGTACGGAGCTTTCCTCGCAAAATAAATCAAGATACTACGGCCCGAAAAGAGAGCAGTGGTCCAAAAACTCACTAAGTCTTATCATCCGTAATTAGTGACGTTTAGTGTACACTTTATCGCCTGGCTGTGAGCCGCTTAATCGCCATCGGCTATAAAAGGCTATAAGAAATTGTGTAGGCGGCTATAGAAGCTATTGGAAATCTTACAGCCGGCCGTAGGTCTATGGTATTTTGGAACACAGATTCTACTGCCAATTTTTACCAGGGATCCCTTCGATTATGGCCTCAACTTACGTAGCTTTCTTCGAGCTCGTTTCGAGCCTTGTTTATCAATCTTACAATTGCTTTCTGTTGTATTCGTATTTTCGGACTGTGTTTTCGTTTGCTTTGCACTCCATACATTGCATTGAGGAGACGAACGATTTTACCTCAAGTTGATTTCACTCGCACACATTTCACTTTAAACTGTTTAACTGTCTGGCAGTGCATTTTTTGGTATGATTTTTTACTTAACTTTACTATTGACAATAAGTCATAACTGATGTGAATCCTGACCAATAAACTTGAACTTCATCATATATGTATTATGAACTTTACATACTGGATTCAATAAACTTAAATAGACTTTCTGCATGAATCAATGCGCCTTAACAACACACTGTGTTGGAATTCACGGCTTGTTTTTATTTCATAAAAGCTATTCAGCGGACACATCTGCTCTATATTTTCCATGAATATTATCCGGATAAATGAAGACTGCTCACCGGAATTTTAAGAAAAATGTGGTGATCAATTTGATTTTAAAAAACAAAACGAACCTTTAGCAAAGATTTACAACGACAAAATCGAAGACACGCATTTTTCAACTTTTTTCAGGCATTGATTTTTGACGCCTCTAACTTGCAACAAGAAAAATCACCAAGCATGAAAGTGACTCTGAAGGACGAATTGAAAATAGGTCATGAAAGTATTGAAGAAAGAACATTGAATAGAAACAATGGGCTGATTGAAAATAGGTCATGAAAGTATTGAAGAAAGAACATTGAATAGAAACAATGGGCTGTACTGTAAAATGTTACGGGCTTCTAGGCTGATGAGGCATGCAGTCACTGCTATAGTTTTCCTCATGCATGTTGTTCTCTAATACGGAGTAGTCAAGCTACTTTCAGTTATACCGCAGTTAACAGTTGCTATAATATTTACAGGTATTTGTTTCCCCTCATACGCACACGTTTTACTGAAAAATTTAACTTTTAGAAATAGCTAGAAAATTGATTGAGTCTCTAAAATACCGGCTCAAAAATTTTTGAATAATGGACCCCTAAACAAGGTACGAATCGACGTAAGCGTCTGATATACGTTTCTGCCGAAAAATTTCACGTAGAACGCAAGCGCACATGCAAATCAGTGAAATGAACTCCAAACCAAGATCATAACGTTTTTACTAAGTATTGCGGTTACGAAAAATTCGAATTCCCGCTCACAAGAAAAGCAAGAGGCTACTTGAATCAAATCACGCACTACGACGATTTTGGCCAAGGTAGATTTACACAGGTATGGAAAAGTTGAAAATTTCCCATGAGCCTCAGTACGTGTCACATGACCTCGTGACGTAGGTTAAGGGGCCCGTTTTTTAATTAAATTACAATCAAATTAACATTCAAACGTTTGTGCGTTTAAACGCTAAAATTAATATCGCATAACCAAAATTGTGCAAAAAATCCCACAAAATTTTGACAAACGATAAACCGAACATAATAAATCAAAATAATCAAAACATCCAAAATGGCTGACGTTAAGGGGCCGCTGGAGAGCCAATCAGAGGCCAGTTGTTTAGTTCTGTCCATACCTGTGTAAATCTACCTTGATTTTGGCAGGCTTCTTAATCAAGCAGAGTTCCTTCCCCACCCTGTGTTGTTCGAAGTGTAAACAACGTACAATAGCTGAGACAAAGCGCCGATAGTCAGGTCGTTATTTTTGTATGCCGCAGAGACTGTCACGGTAACGTTTCGTTCAAGTAGATTTTTGTTTTTTTTTTTTTTTTTTTTTTTTTTATGAGCGAGGAGCCTCGATTGATGCACCGAAAATTTATTAAGTTTATTTATTTATTTTTAAATTTATTTAGGTAAGGAGTTACTTTCAGTCATTTTCGTTGTACCAATCTGTACAATCGTGTTCTACGTGAAATTCGGATTCGAGAAAATTGAGTTCGCACGTTGTCTATGGTAGAGTACCTGTATAGCGAGAGTATGGACAGATCGCTTCATGGAGGTCTTCGGGCCCAAAAGTGCAGCCACCCTTCTAACCAACTTCTAACGCACAAAATTTCACTGCCAGTCTGCAGGTTCCAATTCTAACCAAGATGGCCAAGAATGTACATAAATGAGCGTTCTTCCGCAAAATTGAGTAAATTTATGCAAAAACTGAGTCAAACACGTGCTTGATAAACGACGGTTCGTAACAATAGTATTAGTAAATCGTTCTGAATAATTGAAATTCATAGGTTGGCTGCATTTCTGGGCCCTAACTTTATTCGCAGAAGCATCGGTGAAGGCCTGATGGATTTTCGGAGTTTCACATATGTCCATACTCTCGCTATACAGGTACTCTAGTCTATGGTGGTCGATTTGTAGCGGTAGGCGGTAGAGTTAGAGCATCTTTGTTTTTCGGGTTTTCCAGACTTTCATCATAGATATAAGCTCCGAAACCTCCTTTTGCGTACCTGGAAACGCTTAGTTCCAGCGTTCCACTGGGCCGATTTTCATGATTTTTGCGACTATCAACACGTAATTGTTTCTAGATGAGCCCGCTGGATTCACATTTTGAAAATATGGCCGAGGTGTTTGTATATGACGTGGTAAAGTTGCGAATTCTCCCATTGAAACAATGTAAATTTTTATTTTTTGTCACAGTTCGTTTGAGTCTTCTACTGGGCCGATTCCCTTGATTTTTGCGGTTATCGACAGGTGATAGTCCCTAGATGAGCCCGCTGTAATCAGATTTTGGAAATATGACCCAGATTTTTTTATAATAGAGCTGGGAGCCTGGGAGCTTAAAAAGGGGGGCAAAATTTGGAAAAAACGGAAAATGTTAAATCTTGGTCTGTTAGTGGGGTAAGTGAATCGAAGGTATGCTCCTTTGCTACAGACTATCCAAAAGCGACGAAACGCTCCGTTCCGTTCGTCCCGTTTCGTTTCAGTCTTGGCGTGCCCTGGTAAAAATTGGCAGTAGAATCTGTGTTCCAAAATACCATAGACCTACGGCCGGCTGTAAGATTTCCAATAATAATATTTTAATATTTAATATAATAATATATTTAATATTTTTCTGTAGCCGCCTACACAATGTCTTATAGCCTTTTATAGCCGATGGCGATTAAGCGACTCACAGCCAGGCGATAAAGTGTAAGCTAAACGTCACTAATTAAGGATGCTAGGACTTAGTGAGTTTTTGGACCACTGCTCTCTTTTTGGGCCGTAGTATCTTGATTTATTTTGCGAGGAAAGCTCCGTACTGTTGATGGATGCCTGCCATTCCTAATATATTAGAGCGCCTTCAGTTTCGCATGATACTGTGCAATACCTCTGGTGTGAAATAGTTGCTTCAAGCGCCGTGGCACGCTGCGGTGCGGCAGGCGGGCAGCCAGCGCGAAACGCGCATTGGCGCCTACAAACCTAACAGGGATACTTCACGCGTTGCGCAATGCGTGAAGTATCCCTGTTAGGTTTGAAGGCGCCAGTGCGACGCCGCTCCGCATTGTGTTAGGCTCTAATATTTAATCTGGCGGAGTCAGCGTTATTCAACTCAAGATTTTGAAATGTTTGCACATCCTGTATGGATTATTCTCGTTTTAATTGATGAAAAAAAATATGTATTAAAGGAAAATATAACGTGTGTTTTGTAAATATTAAGATGGTTCCGTATCAAACTTAATGATTTCCAAAGCACACGAATGTCTACACAATTTCTTATAGCCTTTTAATCGATGGCGAAAAAGCAACAGCCAGGCGATAAAGTGTAAAGCCCGGCTATAGGAATTATAGCCCGGCTGCATAATTTTTTATCGATTCCTATAGCCCGGCCGTATGATTTTCTTCGCTCTCTACAGCCAGCTATATGATTTTCTGTAGCCTTCTTTAGCCGGCTATAAGAATTCCTATGGTATTTTGAAACGCAGCTCTTATCGCCAATTTTTACCAGGGTGAAGTTTGAAATAAATGCCGATTTTTTCATTCGATTCTTATTGGTTCAATTGCTCCCGACCAGAGGGAGATTGGATAAATAAGATTCAATATTTTGGTCGTTCTTTCGTCGTCGCGGGCCTAAGAGAACACGAAGCGCCTTCTGGGGGCTGGGTCGCGTAGCGGCCATGTGGCAGCACCCTGGTTTTTTTAAGAAGACGCTGCACGTTAAATTCAAAATTGTTTAAAAATAATCATACGCTCCGAACATACTGTAAAAACGCCTCATGAATAAGCGAGCAATAATTAAACTTTGAAAAATATATTTCCACAATTTATTTTACTTGCTTACAGAATCCTCAAGTCGCACATTTGACAGGGTCTCTGAATTTTTCGCATTTAATATTTACTTTTTACACTATCTGACAGGTACTGCCCCGGCGAATTAAATATGAATTCTGTCAGTTCAGTGATCAAACGAGTGTGCCTGGCGAGAAAAGCTGGACGCCCAGCCATTAAATATCGGATCCAACTTATAGATGATTCTTTGGTCGAAGGAAGTGTAGAGTTTATGGAGAAGAGACTAATGGCTTCGAAGAAATATCACATGACAATTACCTCACATCTCGGTACGACAACTTCCATTAAACAGTTAGAACAAAACTTATCGATTTGTCAAACAAATAAAAATAAAAAAATTAACATATTGAGTGATACAGTACTAAATATTTTAGATGTGTTACGGGTCGATCCCGACGAGCGGGCGAATCTTTATTGGTCTCATGGGCCGGTCTTAGATCCTCTTAGGCCTACCTACATGCGCCCGCTTTTTCCGGGCTTATGAAATCAGCTCGGGCCGATCCCAGATCAGCCCAGGAAAAATAAGCTACAGCCGGGCAGACCTGGTTCCGCACGGACCTAGGCCTTCCCAAAATCGATATATCGACGGTGTAAGTCGGCAATTGCATAATACGTTTGCGGTGTCTGAAAATCTCCGCCTCAACGTTATTTTTTTGAATAAATTGACACCATTCCTTGAAGCTTTTGCAGAATTTTCTTCGCACAGAGAAAGAAAATCAAGCAGTTTTAAGGAATTGCCGTTGAGTTGTTTTCCGTTCAAAAATTAAAGTATGACAGGAGGTCCACGACGTCGCAAACCGAGTCATGTGATTGCCGACTCACACCGTCGATATCTCCCCTCCGCTAACTGGAAAACTCTCTACCGCTGAGGTGACTTCCGGAGAATTTTTTCATCGCAAAATTGGCTGTTAGATGACCGTAGAGTATAAGATATAAAGATTGACTGCCCCTTAATGACTTGTTGCTACAAGGGCCTGAATTGTGACACTTGGATTTGCATTTTAGGCTGTTTTAGCCGCGTATCAGACCGAGTGTTAGTGGTTGGATCATCGAAAGTTTCCTTTCGATTCAAGCAATTTTCCGCGTCTTCTTCTTTTTCTACATCCGCTCGATTTCATTCAAATTGGGCCCACCTCTATGTGCGATCTAGCGATGCCGCGATTATCCTAACGCGAAGTCGAATAATTGTGCCCAACACGGTGCGGTCGACGCGGCGTCTAACTCATATCAGCGCCTGCAAGACTGCAGCGATACTCCAAGCATTGCGCCAAACAGTGCGGTCTGCGTCAGACGCATATTAGTGCCTACAAGACTGCGTGGATACTTCATGCATTGCACCAACCGCAATACGAGAGTTATCAGCGATAACTATTCGACTACGGGTGTCGGCATATTGCCGCTAGTTGGATTGAAGATGCATATCACAATGTGAAGATGACTCGACACTCGACCACGCTCTCTTCCCTGGCTTGCGCTACGCTAATATCGCCGAAAAACTAGGACCACCCGTCATTTCTTTTGACGGCCCCTGCCCGGTTTTTGCCCCAATTAAAAGGATGAATATGTATCTTAATGGCAGCAATTCTGAAGCTTGATTCGCGTAAAAGTAATTTTGGTCTATCAAAAAGTAAAAAGAACAAACGTAAATATCACGTCGAAATTTTTTGTGATTTTTTTTAAATCATTCCGGAAATTTCTCGGAAACTTCTAAACAAACAGTGTGTAGATTTTTTTTTAAAAAGAAAAATTGATTAAAAATAAAACATGAGTAGAGATGTGTTATGTTGCAATAGGAGATGAGAAATCTTTTTTCACACACGTGCAGGCGTCGATTTTTTATTTCATTCAAGGCAGCCCTAACGAGTTAACTATCCGACCACGGGTGTTAGTATATTTCCACTAGCCGGATGAAAAGCGCGTCAAACTGCGAAGATGACTCCACCACGTTCCCTTTCCTGGCTCGCGTGACGCTGGAACCACCGTTAAACTAGGATTACGTGTCATCATTCTTGACTCTCTTCTCCGGTTTTTATGATAATTAAAGGGAAAACAGTTATTGATTAAAAAATCACTTTGCACGCCAAAATAAACAAGTTATCTTTCAAACCACACAAATAACTTGTTTATTTTGGCTTGTAACGTGATTTTTTTTATCAATAACTATGTTCTCTACAGCTTACCCAACCAAATTTGGCAATAAAATGTATTGAAGGGAGAATATGTATCCTCGTTGTAATGTTTCAGAAACTTGGATGATGTTTAATTTTTTTTCTTTCTTTGGTTACATAAAAAGAAAACAGAACGAACGAAAATATCATGTCAAATTTACGATGCTTGTATTTGAGATCATTCAGGAAAACTCATTGAAACTCTTCAGAAAAACTGTGTGTTGCTTTTTAAAAACGGCGATCAAACATAAAATATAAAAAGTGGTGCATAACGTTGCAATCAGATCGCGTGCCTTTATCGGCGTTTGAATACATTAATCTCTTAAATAACTTAGTGTTAATCTTAGTGTTTATTTTTTTCACTCTGAAATAACTTGAACATGGTTATTCCACTATTTTTTTACGTATAGTTTTCCCCAGTGGTCGACGGCCGCGGAGCGGCCACAGGCCCCTAATTATTATTGTAAATCATTATAAAATCCGCTTGATTATGAAACTATGATTCATTATTTTCTTTAAATCTCAATAGGTTTCTCGTCAGATAAAGAGGCAGTGGATGAATTCAAGAGTTTACGGAGAAAATATTTTTCCGAGGGAATCTCCGTGGCAGCTTTGCTTGAGGATGATTTTGGAAATCAAGGACCTGTGATCGCGTGTAATGTACTGTACAAAGAGAGTATGTCAGAAGTATGTACGCTCGGGACTTCATTATTTAATGTAAATATATGAAGCCCCAGGGACGGTTTTCAAATATTCCCATAGGCGGGTCTCCCTGCACTGAAAAAAAATTCTCGGCTTTTTTACCAAGGTCCGTTGGTACCTTTACCATCTCACTTTTTTACCAATTATTGGTAATTTTACTAAGACGGACTGGTAAGCTTACCTAAAACCGGTATTTTTACTGTTTTTTCAGGCGAGAATACCACTTTTATTGTAATCAATTCCCGGTAACTTTGCCATTTTATCTTGGTAATTCTACCACAGTCGATAAAAAATATAGGCGTTTTTACCAAGGTCCAGTAAAATTACCGAGAAAGTTCAATAATTTTACCGAGATGTCTCGGTAAAATTACCAGTTCCATAAATGTTAATTTTACCAAGAAAAAACTGGGATCAAATAGAACCCTGAATTCTTGGTAATTTTACCCTTTTCTTAGTAAATACACCGAGATTTCTTTTAGTGTGGAGAAAGGATTGGGTGCTTGGGGACGCTGTGCTCCTGATGGTGAGTGGGGGAGGCGTTTCAAAAAGACGTAGAAAGGCTCTGGAGGATTTTAAAAAAATGGCAGATTGGTCCCCCAAATTTTGCCGAAGGGGACCCCAGGTAGGGCTAGGAGGGTGATCGCTCCTCCTCAACCTGTGAGGCCAGTCCACCCCTGCGTAATCTTGTTTCCGCTCCAATAAAAATCAATCCGTCGAAAGTGCAAAAATCAGCTCTGATTTTTACTTTCAGTAAATAGCGGGAATTCTATCAACCGCCAGAAATTTTGCCTCTCTACGTCGAAATTCGGGGAAGACGAGCATATCCCCATATTCGAGATCCAAGGAAGCGCATAATGGAGATGTTTCATGTGTGAGGGATTTGGGTTTTGACCATTAGTTCTTATGTAAAAGTTCGCGAGAAACACGATGGTGCCACTGGTTTTCTCTGAAATCATCTCCCAAGCTCAAAAAAAGCTCTCAAGTTGAGGCCAAAATGGAGGGGATATCCCACCCTATCCTGAGAGTCCGCCTCTACATCAAAACAAACTCTCCATGAAAAGATAGGGAGCAAATACATTGACAGGGTTGCCACTTTATTTGGGGACTCCAAAACTGAAAACACGGCATCACTGCTAATATATGTGTTCCCTATCTCTGCATGGAGAGTTTGTTTTGATGTAGAGGTGGACTCTCAGGGTAGGGTGGGATATCCCCTCCATTTTAGCCTCACTTTGAGAGCTNGCCTCTGTTTGTCGAAATTCGGGGAAGACGAGCATATCCCCATATTCGAGATCCAAAGAAGCGCATAATAAAGATGTTTCATGTGTAAGGGATTTGGGTTTTGACCATTAGTTCTTATGTAAAAGTTCGCGAGAAACACGATGGTGCCACTGGTTTTCTCTGAAATCATCTCCCAAGCTCAAAAAAAGCTCTCAAAGTGAGGCCAAAATGGAGGGGATATCCCACCCTACCCTGAGAGTCCGCCTCTACATCAAAACAAACTCTCCATGAAAAGATAGGGAGCAAATACATTGACAGGGTTGCCACTTTATTTGGGGACTCCAAAACTGAAAACACGGCATCACTGCTAATATATGTGTTCCCTATCTCTGCATGGAGAGTTTGTTTTGATGTAGAGGTGGACTCTCAGGGTAGGGTGGGATATCCCCTCCATTTTAGCCTCACTTTGAGAGCTTTTTTTGAGCTTGAGAGATGATTTTAGAGAAAACCAGTGGCACGTACCATCGTGTTTCTCGCGAACTTTTACATAAGAACTAATGGTCAAAACCCAAATCCCTCACACATGCAACATTTCCATTCATTGAACTCGGTGACACGTGATTTGTATTGTTATATCGTACCATGCAGCACTCAATATGAAGAACAAACCCATTGATGATTATTGCATGTTTGCAACACAGTGCTCTTCGCTCATTCAAACTCATGTAAAGCAATCGAAATCTATGGAAGTAAACCAATATCCATAGAGTAGATAGAGATTTTTGAGAAACAAGTGGTGTTATCTTGGAATGGACCACTAGACAAGGTACGAATTTAAGCAATCAGATACATGTTTATTCACCAGAATTTCACGTACATCACGATTTGCGCAATGAAAATGGCTGAAACCAACTCCTAACAAAGATATTAACATGTTTATTTCACATTGGTTACAAGAAATTTGAACTGCCCGCTCACAAGAAACTCAAAGCTCTGCATGAGTCAAATCACGCACTACGACGGGTTCAGCAAGCTTCTCAATCGAGCAATGGTCATTTCCTACCATGTGTTGCTCAAACTTTAAGCAATTTGCTATAGCTGAGCCAAAGCGTCAAGATTGAGGTTGCCAGATGTTTATATCGCAGAGACTGTCATGATAACGTTTAGCGCAGGATGTGAATCACGCAGAGCATTGAGTTTTCATGAGCGGGTCGTTTGAAATCATGCATCAGTAATCATTAAATATCTTCGTAAGGAGTTGATTTCGGTAATTTTCGTTGTGCGCAGCGTGTTTTACGTGAAATTTTGGCTGAGGAACATGTTGTAGAATGCTGAAATTCGTACCTTGTCTTGTGGTCCATTCTCAGTGAGCTATCTGAGTAAAAAGAATAATGCATTTGAAGGAAGTCGCTTTGTAAAGTTCCTCATTGCAGTCTTTTTTTTTTCAATTTTTTTTTCATGTGTGAACATCCATTAGAAAGAGAGCCTTCCCTTAGCACACCAAGGAATCTTTTTTAGTAGAACTATTCTATTACAGTACATCTTAGTTCAACATTATAGTTCACTATAGTAGTATCCCAAATTTCCTTATCGCTCTCTTCAGCAGCACTACAGAATTATTTTATCATTCCAATTTTTCAACCTTCCAGACAGAATTCCGGACGGATCCAATGAGACTACTCGATCAAACAATGGCCGACGCGAAAAAACATGTGGACGTGCTCAAGACTTTCAACTGCGCCGATTACATCAACTCCCTTGGCTTTGCGGTGGCGAGCGACTTCCAGAGTCAGGGCATCGCGACAGAACTCTTAATGGCGCGTGCCGAAGTCTGCCGGCTCACCAACAACCCGGTCTCCGCGAACGTCTTCACCGGTCCTCGCACCCAGAAGGCGGCCGCAAGAACCGGCTTCCAAACACTTTCGGAGCTCGACCTCAGGAAGTATCGGATAGGCGATAGGATCGTATATCCCGAAGCCGACGGGTGGCCCACCATCAAGTTCATGGCCCAAAAATATTTTTAGATGAAAATATTTGGATTTACACTGAAAAAAAATCTCTGTGTATTTACTAAGAAAAGGGTAAAATTACCAACAATTCAGGGTTCTATTTGATCCCTCTTTTTCCTTGGTAAAATTACCATTTATGGAATTGGTAATTTTACCGAGAAATCTCGGTAAAATTATTGAACTTTCTCGGTAATTTTACTGAACCCTGGTAAAAACGTCAATATTTTTTATCGGCTGTGGTAGATATACTGAGATAAAATGGCAAAGTTACCGGGACTTGATTAACAATAAAAGTGGTATTCTTACCTGAAAAAGACAGTGAAAATACCGGTTTTTAGGTAAGCTTACCAGTCTGTCTTGGTAAAATTACCAATAATTGGTAAAAAAGTGAGATGGTAAAGGCACCAACGCACCTTGTTAAAAACGCCGATAATTTTTTTTCAGTGTAGGCGCGTATAATGTACTTGAGTTGCAGTATTGCCATCGTTTCGACCCCAACCGTTGAATGCATCAAGTCCCACAAGTGCTTTTAGGAAAACGCCCGCCGGTGTCGCCTCAAATGTCAAGCATGTCATATATCTGCTAATACCCAGATCATTTGAGTTGATACTCTTCTGCAGATTCGAATAGTTGTTAAATTATAAGGGAGATTTGGTACATTTTTATAAAAATTAAATGATCAGGTAGCTCCAGTTATTATTTAAATTATACTTACAGTGTATGAATATATGGTATTTATTTTTAAATTGGACGTATTTATTCTGAAAGGAACTATATCTGGCTATATCAGGAAAGATACCCATTCTTTTTTGTTGAACATATTTTTAGGAGATGGGAGTGTAGGACTGAATAGAGAGAGGGTTGTTTTCTTGGAGGGTAGGCGGACGGTCAAACTTTTTTCCTAAAGAAGTGGCCTTATGAAAACCATGCAGAGCAGCCATTTATTGATTTCCTGACATTTGCAGACCCGCCGACAAAAAAAAAAAAATGCGTGAGAAGCACTCACCTTCTCTCGCATCTGGATGATGGGTGGTCGTGCGGCAAGAATATGATCGAATTCCATGGAAAATCACCAGCACCCAGCATACAAATAGGTAACACCAGTTGCCGAGAAGCCTCGTCTGTATCATTGCTGTCATGAAAATCTCATCAGGATTTAAAAATACTGGGCTTGTTTACAGGGTGATTCTCCCTTTTGCACCACCCGTATAACCCCTAGGGGTTATGCCCCATTTCACGGAGGTCCCCTTACAATCTTGGGGGATCCCCACCTTCGTTTCCCTGTGACCTTTGACCACTCTTAAAATTTCGCATCTCCATATCTCAATTTATTGGAAAGTTACAGGGGTGATTCTTGGCGCAGGGGGTGCGGGACTTTTGGATCACCCTGTACACTGAACATTGCCAGTGCCCCTCCCCCCACTCAATTTTAAAAAAATCTCTAACCACGCGTAGACAGAGCCTCAGAGGATGAACACAGGTGTAGGTTAATTCGCAACGAGTAATTTTTGAACAATAAATTAAAAGAGTCGCTCCCTTGAAACTTCGCGCTACTGAAAGGTATCACTATAGGAGTTTAACGAACAAGCTCGAACTGCATACAACCCACCACAAGCTGTTACCTACTCACATCACATGATTCAATCTAGTGAGGTAACAGAGATTAGATGAATATCATTTTTGTGGCGATTAAGTGTTTCAACCCGTGAAATTATTAAGGAGAAGTACGTCACCGGTCAGTTCTCAACAGGGCCGGATTTACCTACTTGCCGCCCATGTGCCGCCTGTATTTTTCCGCCCCCTTCTCATTTGTTTTGAAACATCAATAGATCGTATTCGACAGTGGTTCGATGTATCGTTGGGTTCAAAACAATAGAACATAACCGCAAACAAAAATTTTAGGATTTAATTTAGAATAGCTGAAAATGAGAAAATTCCTGACAATTTCACTTTTCATTACCATTTGGTACTCGAGAGAATAAAAATTCGATCACATAAGACCCGTTACCTCAGATTTTTAAGTTGACTTTTGAGGCTGTGGTTACATATTGAACCAATCGATATCAATATAATCTCACCTGAGTGATCTGTCGAATACGATCTAAAAAAAACCATCAAGTGAACGTGCCGGTGGGGGAAGGGTGTGTGAGACGCGTTTACTCGTGTTAAGCACATTTTTTGTGAAAGCCCTGTCAACACTAACAAGAGTTCAGTTCCGTAAACCCGTCCCTGTTTGGACAAGGCCTTCCACTCGTAAAAAACGAACGAAAAAATTATGGAAGAACAAACATAAATGTGGTTAAAAATTTTAACTTCCACCGCCGCGCCGCGCCGACCGCACTGTATTGGCGCAATGCGTGAAGTATTCATGCAGTCTTGTAGGCGCTATGCGTTTCAAGCCGACTACTTCCGACCGCAGTGTATTTGACGCAATGCGTGAAGTATTCATGCAGTCTTGTAGGCGCTATGCGTTTTATGCCGACCGCCGCGCCGCTCCGTTCCAGGTCAACTTGCGTGTTTGGTTTCTCTCTTAACTCGAATAATTAAAGGTGTTGTCTCTTGTATCACCGGAAGACAACAAAATTAGAAATTACTGCGTACTTTTACTCTCAGGAAATGAGGGATTTTTTCGCCTTTTCTCGTTCGTAATTTATTTATTTTTTCTCGTTTCTCGTTTGTATTTTCTCGTTTGTATTTGTATTTATTCTGAATCCGATTTTTTTTCTCTCTTTTTTTGATACCTACATTTAAAATAATTGCAAAATTTGCCGCCCCCTACATTTTGCCGCCATGGGCCGCGGCCCATGTGGCCATCCCCTTAATCCGGCCCTGGTTCTCAAAGTGCTTCTTAAGCATTGGTGTTACTGGGGCACTGGTTTGGTGTTAGTTTATCAATACGTCATACGCTATCCACCTTGCTAATCAATTTTTTTAGATCATACGCCCTCCGTAGAAAAAGTCTCGAAATTCTGAAGTTCCGCTCGTCCCTGTAAGCCCGGTCGGAAATTTTTCATTCTTGAATTTTTTGCAATTAAAAATTAGAAGTTTGGTGAAACAATTAAATCTGATCAGGGGAATATTCAGATCAGAGGTCTGCATTTTTATCTCTGAAAGTGCAAATGGCGGAGAGACAGTTTCGGAGATGAATTTCGAGGATAAATCTTGAATTTCCACCCGCTTTGATTAACTATGAAAAAATTATGATGTTATTTTGTTCAGAACAGCGTGAAACTCAATTTTCGGTAAACGTGGTTTTTGCTTCCTAACTTATCCTCCTATCAAGAAATATTTTCCTCTATAACTTAATTCTTCAAACTATGGGTTGTGTTCAGCAGAAAATAGCAAATCCATATTTTTAATGTCAGAGCCGAGAAAAATATATTTGAAGTTCAACTATTTCGTAGAGAGTTAATGAGTCGATTTTCGTTAATGAGTCTACACGGATTTGAATATTCTATTTGATACTGACATTTTGTTGATATCATCTGACTATGTCTTTATCTAACTGTTTATTTTTTTTTTTATTATTTAAGTTTCCTTTATTGAAAAATTTTTTTACATTTAACATAACATGATAAAGGCTTTAACGAACATAAGAGAAGACAGATAATTTACACGGCGTATTTGAGAAGGACAAGATTAAAGAGAGAGAGCACCGGAATCACAATTAAAGCATATCATCAGTCCATCTAACTGTTTATTGGTAGGGGATATAATTAATTATTTGGTTTAAACAGAAATACTTTTTAGTTTTATTAGTATATAAAAGTAGATTAGCAATAGAGAAGGAGAGGTAGAATAATATATATATTAATCATTAGCAATAGAGAAGGAGAGGTAGAATAATATATACATAAAGTAATATAGTTAGTAACATTTTAGTGCTGACATAAAACAGCACTTAAATATATTAAATTAAGCACTTTTTGTGTTATTGTTCAACATAAAAGTTCGCTCTTTATCCTTCGATCTATTTAATCGTTCCAATGATACAAAAACCGTAAGGAATAAGTTACAAGTTGGTCACACAGTACTCCAGTAAACAAATGACGAGGACGCGATCTTTCGGGTGTTCATCGATATATCGTAAGAGTATCGTAATCTACTCCGGTTTCTTTTCTTCGATTGAAAAAACCCGAGAATTTGGGCGAGAAGAAGAAGCAAAGTGACTATTTCAACTACTTCATTAGCTTTTTTCCCCCGGGTCTCGTGCTTTAGTGCTATATTATTTTAGATTACATTAAATTTTCTTATAGTTATATCGTAAATATCGATACGAAATCGACCGGGCGCTCTGAGCCGGTGGTTTAAGTCGATGGCTTGGGTGATGAGATTCTCGACGATCTGCTGAGAGATGACCATGACCGAGAAATCGATCCCAATGGCTCGGAAAAGCACCGTTTGTGCCAACCGAGTTTCCGCTTCTTTGCCTCATCATCGACTCCTTTACTCTGTGGGCTATCATCGACTCTTTTACTCTGTGGGCTAGGCTTTTCGCAAGGCGTGTACCGAACTTCCAGGTCATTAATTTTTACCGAGTACTTGCCCACTCCGTCCTTCAATGTTGCCACGAAATCAAGCTGAAATTCAGACCAGTTTTTGAATTATTGCGCTCTAGATTTTTTCCATTTTAAAATGTCATTAAAAAACTGCACGATGCGACTGCCCCATTACTTCCAGCGTAATTCGCAATTTTTGAAGTTTTGCATCTCACGCATAGACGTAAAAACTGTAAAAATAAGTCACTCTCGATAGTTTGCCTTAATAGGGAGGCTGCATTTTTGGGCACTAAGAACTTTATGACCTGTCCTAAAAATTACTAACATGTCCGTAGTCTCCCCATGTAACTACTCTTGCAGAGACAACTGAAAACAATGGCTAGAAAACTTGAGATTAGGTATTCACAATCTGACAACGCTGCCGTGATGATCATGGAGGATTTTGAAGGGCTAAGAAAATATCATATCAGGTGAAATGGATTCATTTACAAGTGAAAAAACTATGTCTTTGATTTGAAGAACTTATTGGGTAACCACAATATTATACGTCGATTAGTATGACGTGCACAGTTGCGATTCTGGAAAGTTACTGAAGGTGAGGCAAGCTGCCTCATCTAAAATCGATACTTTTAAAGGATTTAAATGGAGTAAAAACAGCGTTGCCAACTTGCAAAATCGCCACCGCAAGGAAAACTCACCACAAAGGGACTTAGAACGTTGACACTGACTGAGACTCGCGTCCAATATCTATAACGAAGCATTATCGGGCGCTGTCCAGTGGAGGACCATATTTCGGTCGACAGTTTTGGGGTCGACGTCGGCTCGGATGTCGGGTCGAACCAGATGGAATCCCGAGGCGACGATACTTCCGTCTTCACCAGCTAAATTCACAACACAAATGACATATCAAAATTTAAAAGTGTTGATACAGCGAACCTCATCGAAATTTCGAGGCTCAGAGAAAAAACATCGCACACCGGTGGTACGAATCGATTAGTTCAGTAGTCGATTTCGAAAACGCAAATAACAGTGATCGCCACAAGTTGCGATCAGATCGGAGAAAAGTACCGCAGTTTTATCGACGGCGATGAATCGCAATATTATCGAACAAAAAATCGTGACAAATTGGACCGCGCTAAGCAGAAAGGAATCAAGTCACATCAGCTATTGCCAAATTTAATTGGGCAGTTTAATTTCCTACGTGAGAAGAGTTGCGTGATTTTTTTGCAAATTTCATTGAATTTTCTGCTTAGTGCGAAACAAATTCATTAAAATTTTCAAAGGAATCCGCACAAGCGTTTTCTTGTAAAAAATTAAATTGCCCCGTTAAATTTAGCAATGGCTCATGTGGCTTGATTCCTTTCTGCTAAACGCGATTCATTTCACACCTTTATCGGAACTTTTTAAAAAGAACCATCTATTTTTGAAGAATGCATATGGTTTAAATTTGCTCGTAAAGATGCTAGGTTTGAGATAATGCTGTGCTGAAGCTAGTCTGACACAAATCGAAGACGAGACGGAGGTCTCCGATTTTGAACAGTTTTTTCTTATCATTTTGCTCCGCATATTCACAGGTGAGTCAGAATTGCTGAGCGTTGTTTAAGCGGAAATTGCACGGAGCAAACGGGTCACTTTTGAGGGAGGATTGAGAACACCCATAGGTCCAGTTACACAATCAAATTGAGCCATCAAATTGGACCTCTCATTGGTCGCATACTCACCTCGGGTCTTTTTCCACCAATCAGAGCTTCAGTTTGATGGCTCAATTTGATCGTGTAACTGAACCTTATGTGCCCATGGAGCTCAATGGAGCCTCGGGCGGTTTCACTCTTTTCCGATCCGTAAATATTCGTTAATGTTCTCATCAAACATCATTATGAAGTAATCTGAAAATGGTAAGCGCCTTCAGATGTTGCTGAAGTTGCGAAACTGATGCTCTCATTTACCGCGAACTCGGTGGGTTCAAAATGAAATTATTCTGTTCAAAATCAGGCCAAACTTAAGCGATAATTTCCCAATTAAAAGTCCCCAGAGCGAAGGCGTGTAGGCGCTTTCACAATTTCACATTGAGGAACACCCTACACATGCACCAATGCACTCAACATCCAATGGCGCCTGCCATGTTTCGAATCCCCACTCATCGTATTATATGTAATGGCAGTCTCGAATTAATGCACGTTGAGTCTTTCCTGAAAACGCTCGATGTCATACATATGTCCTTGTAGCTGAGTGCAATCAATATTTTTAATAAAAAAATAAAAAAATAATAATAAAAAAAAAAAAAAAAAAAAAAAAAAAAAACCTCCAGTAACGGGATTGATTAAAGAGCGATGGTTAGTTTGTTCACTAGCCTTTATTGTGAGAGGTCCTTTCTTGTGAGTCTGGAACAAGTACTTAAATTTAACGCATCCATCTGGGCCTCGCTTTTTGTCGAGTGGACTTAACTCGTAAAAACCGACGCTCCAAAGGTGATCTTCCCTGGAAATCTCGCTCTCAGATTTTAGAGACCATCTTAGGAATCCTCCCGAGGGTCTGACCGATTCTGAAAAGACAGTAAGGTAGAAAATGTTTCAACAAAGTCCCTTTTCATTCACGGAGAAGTAGGGAAGAAGTAGAAGTAGAAGAGTATTAAAAGTGGGAGTTGGACTGTGTCGCATAGCACTAGAGAGAGAGCGCTGTGAAAACGGTTCATGTGAATGTGTATGTTGAGCAAAGATAAATTAACAGCCATCGTAGGAACTGACATTTTTCGAAAAAAACGTCACGTTTTAAAAAACTGGGAAGAAGTTGCGTGCATGCTCAATCGAGTGTTTTTGAAATTATTGTGGATCGAAAAATTAATAGGAAAATCTGATGATTTTTGGCGTATATGAGGACTTATATGCGGTCGCTGTCATCCGACTTTTTTAGGAAAAACGCTTTTTTCGAAGTCTGGAGCCCTCACGAATGCCTGTTCAAAGTTTCAGGCTTCCAGCGCAATTTTCCGGCGAGATATGAACTGAAAACCATGTTATTTTCAAAAACAGCGGATATGAGAATCCACCACTCTCCCCGGCCGGCGTGGGGCGCTAGCATTGTGAAGGCAGCCTTAAAAACTGTTGATGCAAAGAACTTTCTGCACCCCTGCATATGTTTAACCCTTTACTCGGAAATGTTTGGAATGAAGCATATATATGATGAAGTTAAACAATTATTCTTTTTTTTCTCCTTTTTTTATTTTTTAAAATTTGGATGAAAATCCTCCAAAACAACAACAAAAAAACAAATAAACAAACAATCAAGGTAAGTACTTTAGCGACGAGCACAAAAAAAAGATCTTCATAAAACACTAGAAACAATATCACAAAATTGCAAAATAAGCCACTATTCCACCATTTTCAGTAATTTAAGAAAGTTTCCCAAATTTTGTATCATATGTACAATGTACATACCACAAAAAGACAGAACCAAATATCATTCTTCAGTCTGTTTATATGCAGATTGTTGCAACCTAAAAAATGAAGTATTCTCGATTACAGCAAAGATAACATAGCAGAACTGAAGCGAGACAATTTGGGAAAGGCAGAGAATAGATGGAATGAGACAGGGACTGAAAGAACACACGTCGCAATTCAAGATTTTCATTCCCCTGTCAGTTGTTGCATGATAAGTTATGAGACAACACCGCATGGGTGCGGACATCAAATATTTTAGGGTGGTCCCAAACTTTTATAGACGTCCGGGTACGACAAATCAACTTTAGAACCTAAATCGACCACAGAGAGGGTTTTTGGTCTCTCGATTCTCGCAAACTTTTGCTTGAGCAAAAATAAGAGTTGTTCCTTATGGATGATGTCTCAAAAATCAAGATGCGCGCATCGGCAAACTTTGAAATGCACTCCTAACTTCACAAGTTCACAATCTGCATAAGAAATTTGCGTTTTTTTAAGCTTCCTGCTTCAAACAGGATACCACGGCACAGGTGAACATTTCGTTAGAGGAGTCATTCCATTCAATCCAGCTGCTCAACATGGCCGACGCTTCCGCGCGCAAGTTGAGGAGATCATGAGTTTAATCAAGGCGGATATCTATAAACGCGAGAGAAATGTGAATGTAAACACGCCGATTGTTATCAGGTGGTTAAAATTATCGTCCCGTCACATGTGTTTTGGCGGATTGGCGTCGGCTATGTTGAATATTGCGTGGTATATCTTTGTGAGCAGGGGTTGGATAGAATGGCTCCTTTAACAAAATTTTCACCTGTGCCGTGGTATCGTTTTTGAAGCGGAAAGCTCGAAAAAAAACGCAAAATGCAAATTGTGAAGTAGGGAGTGTACTTCAGACTTTGCCAATGCGCTCATTGTGATTTTTGAGGCATTTTCTATGAGTAAAATTTCTTATTTTTGTTGTAGCAAGTGTTTGTAGAAGGAGAGGTAGAATAATATATACATAAAGTAATATAGTTATTAATATTTAAGTGCTGACATAAAACAGCACTTAAATATACTAAATCTATAATTAAAAAAGATATTAATCATTAGCAATAGAGAAGGAGAGGTAGAATAATATATATATTAATCATTAGCAATAGAGAAGGAGAGGTAGAATAATATATATATTAATCATTAGCAATAGAGAAGCAACGCTAGCAACAGGCCCATTTATCTTCAAAAATCGATAAAATCGAAAAATAACAAGTACCACATACATAAGTTGCCGTTTCCATTTTTCCAATCTTGATTATCGGGACAAATGGACCGGGGTAAACAGGAAGGAGTCAAAGCCACGTCAGCTATTGCCATCTTTGATTGGGCAATGTAATTTTTTACATGAAAACGGTTGTGCAGATTTTGTGCTTTCAGTGAACTTTCTCCATAACATAGTACGAAGCAAATTCCTTAAAGTAATCAGAAGAATCCGCACTAAAGTTCTCTCGTAAACAATGAAATTGCCCGGTTAAATTTTGCAATAGCTGATGTGGCTTCGGTTTTATAAAAAACCGATCTCGGATTACCTCCGACAAAATACATTTATACATGTGAAAACGCACCCTTAGCTTGTTGATTGGCTCCTTTCCAACCGTCTTCAAATTTTACTGTGTTTGGAATCCACTCCCAATGCGGATTTTTTCCCAGTCCTTTGAATCCGCAGCTATCATCGTCAAAGGAACAAACAACATCAACAGGGAAGCTTGGCTTTTGATTTGATCCTGATGAGAAGAAGAGGACAGACAAATGGACAACTGGACAATGGATCACTTCCACTGCACGCTGAGCCACGTTAAAAAGTTTAAAAATGTAATGACCAACTGATTTATTCAGCACTAGACTAATAGAGATTGGACTTCCTTATGAGGAACAGCAGTACATTTTTTTTTCTTAATTAAAATAAAATTCTGTTTAATTTAAAGAGAACGATTTTGAGGTAAAGAAATGTTCATTTTAATTACTCACAAGAGGAGTTTTTTCAATAATTGAAAGTTTGTTTAAGTTCATTGAGTTCTTTTTTTCTTTTTTTAATTCAAAGATACTAAAATTCGCGATCAATGGCTAAAGGTACATTTCTCTGAATTAAGTATGCACAAAATTTTAATTGGCGTCTTAAGAAAAAATTGTTGGGCTGATTCAGCCGCAAAACAACTTCTTTAAATCAAGAAGCGTTTTTTTATATTGACAAAAATCTTCTTGAAAATAAACTTTTTAAGTGTTTTTCTTGTTTTTTCTCTTTCTTATTAGTTATATTTTTCCCCCTCTTCAAATATTTTTCCTTTAAAATGGTATTTTTACACCTAGAATAGGCTCGGCCTTGTATTTCATTCGGAATCATGGAATTTTAAATTTAGCCAACTTCGAATAAGATCTTCCGCGTAACTTACCATCGCACCGATAGAGGTCTTGAATTCTTCTCACGTCGCCAGCACTAAGGCGTGAGGATAGTGAAGTTTTATAATGGTATCTTAATCCTACTTTCGATCTCAGTGCTTTTAGTATGCCCGGTTCCTAGACGACAAAAAATCAACAATATATATTACGAAAATCCAATATTCTTAAAGTATGCATCGAATGTGAAAATCCCAGACAAAGTATCTCGATTTGCGACAGTGCAATTTTTTGTCCCTGGGAACTGTTTTAATTAAACATCAACTCAGAAGCGAGAAGTTGACATATTTTGATGCGTTTGATAATTTAGACGTTCGTGTTTTCCGTTTGACATTTAAAATTTTCAAAGTACATAACGAGCGATATATGTCATTCAATAATAATTTTTCTAGTTTCACTGAGCTCTTCCAAATTTCTTCCAAATTTTTCTTGTGCAGTATTTTTGATAGGCAAAATGTTATTCTACGGGTCTGGGTGTTTCCTTGGAAATTTTAAAACCACCTATTGCGACACACACACAAAGAAAAAAACATGTCACGGAGCGGGCTTCAACAAACTCCCCTCCTCTCCCTCACCTTTAGGGATTCGTATTTTGGGCTGGGATAGGTCAATGGTTGATTTTTCTTGTGCATTCCCGATCGTTTTTATTTTGATCAAATTATCTTAAAAATGTGACGAGAATTCAATCGAATATCAAGCGCAGTAGTATCCCCATGAAGGTTTCGAAATTCCTGAATTTTGGTTCCTTGGGCCGATTCACTGATTATAAAGATGTTGCACGTGTGAGGGATTTGCGATTAGACTGTTGTTTAGAAACACGATGGTGCCACTGGTTTTCTCTAAAATCAACTCCCAAGCTCAGAAAAAGCTCTCAAGTTGAGGCCAAAATGGAGGGGATATCCCGCCCTACCCTGAGAGTCCACCTCTCCATCAAAACAAACTCTCCATGCAAAGATAAGGAGCAAATACATTAGCAGGGTTGCCGTGTTTTCAGTTTTAGAGTCCCCAAATGAAGTGGCAGCCCTGTCAATGTATTTGCTCTCTATCTTTGCATGGAGAGTTTGTTTTGATGTAGAGGTGGACTCTCAGGGTGGGGCGGGATATCCCCTCCATTTTGACCTAACTTTGAGAGCATTTTTTGAGCTTGGGAGATGATTTCAGCGAAAACCAGTGGCACCATCGTGTTTCTCGCGAACTGTTACATGAGAAACAACAGTCAAATCGCAAATCCCTCACACATGCAACATCTCCATTTCTCCGGCCCCCTTCATCATGAAACAAAAAATAACCGAGCAAAAAGCTTGGCAGAGAAGAATCATTATGCCGCACACGATGTCGCAGAATCCGCAGGAGACCCCTTTAAGCTCACATGCTATATTTTGTTCAAAAATACTCCATTGATGATTTTTCAATCAAAATAATTGAACACTCCATTCTCGTAGGCGCATTTTATGCGCAAAACCGCGTTTCAACGATACGTTTTGCTACATCTCTTTATCGACGCCATTTTTTATGGAAAAATATGGCTCCGGCGGGTATCTCTAATGGCGTTACATACGTCATTAATAGGAGGGGTTGGGTGATGTCATGAGTGAAATGCAATATTACCTTGGAGAACGAATAGTCAGGATACATCATTACGGAGTCGAAATCAAGCGGCTGTCCAAGAATATTTGTAACTGCTCTGTCGCGTTTTTGAAAATTAATAAGGGCTCCCTGTGAAAAACGAAAACACAGGAGTTAATGATCCAACTTCACATTGGACGATATCTATTTTTGCATGCTGTAAGATGCCTGAACCCTCAACCAATATACGAGGAAGACCATGTTTTTACCGAATTATTCTGCAAATACTATCAAGAGCTTATCCTGAAAATTTGAGGTGCATGGGTGAAACAATTTTTATTTCACGAAGTGTTCAGTTCCAAAAAACGAGGAAAAATCTTGATGGATTAACGGCGTTCTTGTTTAGGACGGCAGATCAGGGCTTGACAATATAACGGCTCAAAGACAATAAAACGGGTGCGAGGAAAAAAATATTTGAACGGTCCGTTGAATAGCATTGGTTGATCGGTGTGCTGTACTATGGTACATCCGTGTGATTTCAAAAAGCGAGCCCTACTGGCACGCTTAAAATCGAGTATCAGCACAGCCGAAGATGGAAGAGACGTATTCGAGGTATTCGAACCTCTTTCTTTAACTTTTTCCCCTCATCACAGCGACACTTCATTGGCAACATAGAGCGCAGCCGATCATTGCGAGAGCAAGCGTCGCGTCACGCCATCGCGCCTTCAATTTTGAAGACGCAACACGGACATCCATCAAGTACGAATAGTTGTATCTCTGCGCCGTCATCAACGCCCTTACTTTCCCCTGCTCTATTTCCGTGTAGTGCTAGTTCCTTTTGCAGTTTGTCTTTTATTTATATAGAGGTTCTTCAGGGTCAAGTCAACGCAAGCTACACGTCCGAAGAAATAAGAAATATGTATTCCGGCCACCTTTCAGCGGCTCTAGCGCAGCGGTGCTCGTATCACCACCGCTTAGCCGCTATTTGAGGCGTTCTCGAGGCCGCTTCGACCAGTGCCTCTTTTACCATTGGTGAGAGCGCGCTGTGGTAGATGCGTAACGAGAACGACGCCTTGCTTCGATTATGTTGGGTTTTTTTCTTTTTTTTTCTTTAATGTAATTTGTTGTTGCTTCTGGTAAGATATTATAATCGTGAACTTGTTTTTGCAACATGTTTTTGTTATCATTTTTGCCTGTAATTATTCTATTGTGGTTTTTCCGATGGTTTGTTTGAATCGTCTGTCTTATCAGAATCATCTTAAGAATCATCGTCTTAAGAATCATTGAATATCTTCGGAAGGAGTTAATTTCGGTAATTTTCGTTGTGCGCATCGTGTTTAACGTACAATTTTGGCCAAGAGACATGTATCAGAATGCTGAAATTCGTATACCTTGTCTAGTGGTCCATTGCAGTGATTTCATCTAAAAGAGTTTAGACAAATTTTGAAGGAAACTCGATTTCAAAAATTTGACACTTACTGCTCTCTCCGCTATGACGACGGAGAAGCTTACCGGGTGAATATTGTCGGATAAAATTTTCAAATAATGGTCCCTGTCCGGGTGGTTGTGCTCGTCAATCAGGCCCAAGGTGTGGCCCATCTCGTGCAAGACCGTTCCTTGGCCATTGTTAAACCAAGCCTTTGGGTGGATCCGAATTGTTTGCTCGCCACGAACCTTTCCAAGACTTGAGTCGGATGTAGCGTATAGGCTGGTACCGCTGCACAAGAAACACATCAGCTAGAGCAAAGTAGTAAGAGTTGTTTCTGTAGGAAAGTGATTAAGATCACAGCAATTAGCACATTGGCGGAGTCTAAAATGGGTGTGTTGAAAACTGCAGATAGAGCCGGCACACAGTCAAAGTAAAGCGCTGGGTGCAAAAAAAGGCATTCTTGGTTGCGCACTGAAAAAAAAGCTCGGTGTATTTACTAAGAAAATGGTAAAATTACCAAGAATTGAGGGTTCTATTTGATCCCAGTTTTTTCTTGGTAAAATTACCATTTATGGAATTGGTAATTTTACCGAGAAATCTCGGTAAAACTGTTGAACTTTCTCGGTAATTTTACTGGACCTTGGTAGAAATGCCAATATTTTTTATCGACTGTGGTAGAATTACCGAGATAAAATGGCAAAGTTACCGGGAATTGATTACCAATAAAAGTGGTATTCTCAGCTGAAAAAAACAGTAAAAATACCGGTTTTTAGGTAAGCTTACCAGTCTGTCTGGGTAAAATTACCAATAATTGGTAAAAAAACGTGAGATGGTAAAGGTACCAACGGGCCGTGGTAAAAACGCCGAGAATTTTTTTTCAGTCCGGTGTCTCAGAAGCTCCGCTAACGTTTCAGCTTCAGCCTTATTGTATAATTAAAGCAAATTGTACGGAATTCGTTGAAACTTTTGCAGAACTTTTTTCATGATTTTACAATGCTGAAAACGAACAATTTCAGAAAATTAAATGTATAGTTTCCTCTCTAAAACATAAATTAACAGTGACGACACCGACCAAAAAATACCCTTTTTACACCCAACAAAATTTACATTCACTTCTCAGGTACGTCCTGCCTCTTGTTGTTTTTAATGTTTTAGCCTTGTCTACCCAGGTTTTAATACCCTGCTTTTTTATTCGTATATTCGCGCTATAAGAACACAAAAGCACACATATCGACGGTGTAAGTCGGCAATCACATAACTCGGAAAACGCGATTTTTCAGGAGAGGGAAAAAACTCTCTATATTCCTCATCTTTGAAGGTAGAGGGGAAATAATTCTTAGAGACAGCAAGGAAAACAATTCGACGACGCGGCGTACCTAAGTCGGCAATCACATACCTAACTCGGTTTACGACGTCGCAGACTTCCTGTCGTACTCCATTTTTTAAACGGAGAACTACTCAACGGCAATTCTTTAAAACTGCCGTGAGTTTTCTTCTCTATGCGAAGAAAATTCTGTATAAACTGCAAGGAATGATGTCAAATGTGTCGAGGTTCTCCTTTAAATTTTCAGACACCGTGAACGAGATAATTATGTGATTGCGGACATATGCCGTAGAATTACGAATTAAAATGAAATGAAGATAAAAATCAGCGGACGATTACTCAGTTATCCGTCGGATTAGATGTTTGATGTTAAAACAATAACAATGTTTTTGTTGTTTGAAGATTCCGTGACGTACTAACTTTTAATCGGCCTGTTGCATGCAAGAGATACAGGCGCGCGCGAATAGACTTTTTAGAGGTTAAATGACACGAAAATTACGATGGTCGCATTAGAAAAGTCTGAAATACACTCCGTACTGCGCAATTTGCGTTGTTAGGAACGCGCTTTTTCAAATTTCCCGCGTCTGGGGGCAGTTTTCTAATCACCGGAAACGAGCAAACGGCGGGCTCGGTGATTTCCGGAAGATGCCGAGTCGTTGTTGTTGTTGTTATTTTTTCCTTCAGTTTGTTTACAAACCCAACGTGATCTCTTATAGTGGTCCATATACGCTTTATGCGGTAACCTAAACGATCAACTTTTAAATATACAACGCAATCCTTCTACATTTCATTTCACGATATCACGAGCTCCGATTTTTAGGTTATGTTGTCAGTTTTAGTTGACCGGAAATAGCCGCGAGTTGCCGTTAATTGTTTCCGTTAGATAACTGCCCCCAGACGCGGGAAATTTGAACGTTCCTAACAACGCAAATTGCGCAGTAAGGAGTGTATTTCAGACTTTTTTAATGTGACCATCGTAATTTTTGTGTCATTTAACCTCTGAAATGTCCATTCGCACGGCTGTATCTCTTGCATGCAACAGGCCCATTTTCCCTCCTAAACTGTTCACGATTCTTCCCGGGAGAGCGCGCGTTGTGTAAAAATGCGGCGCGACGGCACGAGTTATGTGTTATTGGAATTAACGCCGAGATATGTGTTTTGAGTTCTACGGTTTTAGGTGACTTCCAGATTTTTTTCGACTGAAATATTTTGACAGCAGGTAAAGGGCATCTATACTACACTTCATTTCTGCAGCTAACTCAAAACCGCCAAAAATCGAGTCATGTGATTTCCGACTTGCACCGTCGATATGTTTTTATGCTTAATCTTCTCATAGTTACTTCTGCCCCACCCTGTGTGCTACTTTAATTGGAAAATGTCCTGATTGGAAGTGGATCCCTCCAAATTCACAGGATTTTTTGTGAAAATGCGTTTGAATGTTATCACGTGGGAAACCGGCGGATGCCGCTGTTACACACGTCCAACAGCATATCAAAAAGCGCATTGTGTGCGTTGCTTAGCGGTCGCATCAGTGCGCGTTAAAAATGACGCCGGAAGACCAAAAAACATATCTAACCTTGCAGACGCAGTTTCCTCGATACGCACGAAGTCTCTTTCTCCGCTCCATTCTTTAAATCGAACACAAGTTTTCTCCATGATGTGGTCCATGGCATCCATTATAATGGTACATTTATAAGACTCAGGGCATCCTTAAATTAGAAGAGAAAAACATAATGAATACAAATCTCAATAATACTGTTCTCTCCATTTTTCCAATTATTAGAATGAATCATTCCCAAGCTGACGAACGAGCTTGAGAAAATCGTTGACGAGATAAGATCTTTTTTTGAATATGGAGGTCGCGTTAAAATTGTAGCTTTAAACTAGGGGAAACTGGATCTGCACGAGATAGCCCAAGCAGCAATGATCTTTGCGATTCGATCGGTAGATTATAGTAAGTTTATCGGCAGCAATTCAATTCATTTCAATACCGTTGCGACCCATAACCGCAATTCATCGCAAAAAAATCGCTTTGTTGCCAAAAAAAAGAAAAAAGTTGAACTTTTATCATTTCTGGACGTTTTAATATGCCTGGGGTGAAATGAACAATACTTAAAAATTAATATGTGTGTAGCTTAATCTTTTTTTCTTTCTTTTTTTCCCTCCACTTCAAATATCCCTCGAGGGATAATCTTATGCGCTTTACCGTTTCTTTTGATTCATTTTTTCAAATTGTCTTTGGTAAATACTTGGTTTCATTTCTATCCTTGAAATTTCCGATATAAAATATGCCTTAAATGTACATTAAAAGGGAATAATCAATGCAGAGAGTGCAAACATTTCAAAATCATGAGTTGAAAAACGCTGACTCCGCGAGTTTAAATATTAGAGCCTAACACAGAGCGGAGCGGCGTGTCAGCAGCGCAGAACGCGCACTGGCGCCTACAAACCTAACGGGATACTTCTCGCATCGCGCAACGCGTGAAGTATCCCGTTAGGTTTGTAGGCGCCTATGCGCGTGTCACGCTGGTTGCCTGCCACGCCGCGCAGCGCCGCAACGCTTTAAGCAACTATTTCGCGTCGGAGGCGTTACACATTATCCTACAAGATTGAAGGCGCACGAAATAACTAATTAAAGAGGACTTTCAATTTTGACTGCATCTGTTACTGAAAAATGTTTAATTTGGCATCGGAGCGTTTCTTAGGCTCCCGCTTTAGTTTTCATCTTATCATATCCGTACAGTGTACACATGAACATATGTTTTTATCTGCTCTTAGAGTCTGTTCTCTTTCATGACTTGAGTCATGAATGAAATGTTTTTAAGAATGAAGGTAGTAGTAGTATGCGTTTATTTTTGAGGTGGTTCCTGTCATTTAAATGAGAAGAAAAAAATGTGGACATAACATGTCCACAATTTGGACAATTTTGGACATATTCATGGTTGGACATTAAATCATGTTGACTTAATAAAGGCTGGACTTAACGTTTAGTGAACATAAGTAGCGGTGGACATTTATTTAATGGACGAAAAGTAGGTGGTCATAAAGTCCTGGAAGCATCCTATGCTGTTTCCGTAACACAGTAAATTTTGTACAAAATTCCTTAACCTATTGTAAATTGGCATAAAAAACCACTAGTATATTATTTCACGAGAAAATGTATCTATTGTAAACTTACGAAGTGTAGCGTCGAACTTGTAGATAACAGCTGCTCTCGGCCATAATCTCTCCGGACTTTTCAGCATTTTCTTGCTCCGCATCTTCGGTGGAGAAAACGGCAGAAAAAGAGAATTTAAAGTTGTTTTAAAAAATGCCTGCATTATTTACACACAGTTTAAATTGGACGCATTCGAGCGAGGCAAATCTTTCTACGACGAGAATTTTTAAAAAGAAAATCCGATGCGGAATAACAGTCGGGGACCTCTGACACATCGACAGCGAATCTTCAAAGGCGCGCATCTCGTCGCTGAAGTTTTTACTTTGATTATTGGCGGCCTTGCACTGCTGTACATGGAAATGTTAAGCTGCATTTGGTCAACTTGTGGAGTTTTTTTTTTTTTTTTTTTTTTTTTTTTTTTTTTTTGTCAAAAGAAATTATTTATTCAATAGATAACAAGAGATTATACATGCATAGTTATTCCTATAAGTACCAAATAGTTAATTAGTTAATAGCAAAGTAGTCAAGAGTTAACTTCCCGAGACATCGCCGGAATTACCACAAGGTATATCTTCGGCTGAAGGGGGGGGGGGGGGGGGTTGGGGGTTGTGGAGTTGTAATGCTGAATTTCGTTTTGGTGTCTGAGTGCTCTAATATTCGTTTTCGTGCCAAGGAAAGGTGACCCTAACTGTACAAATTCAGGTTCATTTATGGTAAAAAATTTGTAAAAGCAGCATATTTTTCCAAATCAGGCTTCTTTGACGAAATATCTTCGAGAATGGGCAGGATAATTTGGATGCTTTTGAAGGACCCAGTTAGCTAGTGAGAATTACTTGACGACGACAAGTTTGTAAAATTTTGCTCGGCTGCAACTGATTTTGAAGTAAACTTGCCTAATCCTGCTATTTTCTACTCAAGAAAAGTCTTTAGGTACTTACGTTTTACATGTATTTCAACCACCTCTAAGCCACTTTTTTGCTATAAGCTATAGACACAGTGGCTCACTTGCGAATGAAGCTCCGTGAAATTTTGGACCCGTGCGGAGAGGAGACGGGTTCAGAAAACCACACTTTTCTAGAGTTCTATCAAAGCAAATTTAAAGATCTATAGAACGCGTTAGAGAGCTAAGAATAGTGGCTTTTCAACGTTTTAACATATTTTCTTTATCCTACCTTAACGTAGGAAATATTGAACAGGTATAAACTTACTTTCTCGACGACCCTCGTACAATAAATAGCCGTATGAGCCTTCAGATATTGTCAAGTCTCCTCCGATAAAAACCGACATTATTGGGAAAATTGCGAATATTATTTTCCATAATTTCTAGACAATGGTGTACGCGATTTAATCCAAAATATCTGAAACTTTCGAAGAAAAATATGTATTATGAATGTTGTCAAAAATACATGTTTTATCGAGGGAAATTTGGCAACTCTCGAATGTTCATACGGCGTTCTTCCTTAGCACGGCAGTACAGTTACGTTATACCTCTCCCCGGTTTCTATAAAGAAAAAATTCCATTAATAATTATTTTTACCGTGGGTTTCGCACGAACCGCCGCATATTCATCTTCGACAGGATCACCATTTGGCAGAGTGAAATCACCCTTGCTCAGTTCTGCTGCAAGAGCCAAAAGCACACCCACGAGAAGTAACATCGAGTGACTGAAAATTAAACCATTTGCTGCACACATCGACCCGACTACGAAGCGACCTCAGCGGAAAATAATGTCGGCCCCTTTTTACGTGACCTATCGGCAAAACATTCTCATGATATCCACCATTAAAAATATAAAAAACCAGTAGCAATTCAGTCAAGTCCTACGTAAGTATTAATTCCAGGGATCATTAATAATGTTCGTGGGACAATAAGTTGGATTTTTTTAACCAAAGTGCATGAAGGATCCAGGAAACTGAAAACCTCAATACCCCCCCCCCCCCCCCCCAACTCAAATACTCAATCCCATGTTTTCCCTCTGTATTGGGATTTCCGGTTTTCTGGATTTTTAACGCACGTTGGCTAAACAATTCCGACTTACTGTCTTAGTTCCAGGAATGGTTGAATATGGTTTTGAAAAGTAGAGAGCAAATGAAGGTCCGATGTAACTATTATTAAATCGTTTTTCCTGCTTTTTAACATAGCTACCATTCGACGCAATGCAGTAAAAGTCAAGGTTCAACTGTTGGGTAGGATTTTCCACGGAACAGCGCGGCTTCATAGGAAGGAAAATGTTCTATCTCACTATCTTGCCGTGTTAGCGAAGAGAGCCGTAAGTGCAAAAATGAAGTTATGAGAAAACGGGCTCAAAAGCTTCTGACAAGAACATTTTATTGAAAGAAGCCTCCGTTCTTTGTCAAATTGCCACTAGTCGTCCGGAGGACTCCTAGAAATCGTATGGATGATAAAAAATCGATTACATAAAAAGGGTATTTTTCATTCTCATGCCAGGTTATTGTTAGGCAAGACAGCCGTAAGTGCTATCTTCTGCATGCTTTCGTGGTTGCGTTTTGGACGCACAACAAACACATTTTCAGGTTAGAAATTGGCAGAAGAGGGCGGCACTTTACTGGGAAGCACTGTTCTCATTGGCTCTCATGCATCTACTTCTACGGCTGTCTCGAAAAAAAACTGTGTCATTTTTTGTGCACTTACGGCTTTTACATACGTCTCGTTTTCATTAAATTAGGATGAATTTTGCTGTTTTAGCTGTCTCAGTAATTTCATCTAAAAGAGTTTAGACGAATTTTGAAGAAAACTCGATTTCGAAAATTTTGCACTTACGGCTCTCTTCGCTATCACGGCAGTATCGTGCTATAACAATTACCATACCGGGTGTTCCAGAGCACCCGTCTACTATCTTTTTCTCGGAAACAGCTGAAAATTGAGCTTCGGGCCGAATCGTTCTAGAGGTGAATCGACCCCAAAGAATTCAATTAAATTGTTTTCAGTCCCCCATTTCTCGCATATTTCAAAAAGTATATGTTTTGACTTTGGATTTGAATTCTATGGCCAAAAATAAAAACTTTTTGTTTTTTTGCATTTTTTCCCTAAACCGCCATATTTTGGAGTTACAGGGCACTTAAGGGCAAATTTGGGGCAAATTTCAATTAGACACTGTATGCGTCAAAAATATCCGATTTTCAAAATCTAAAAGTCTCTTGAAAGAAGAGGTCGATACCTTTCTGTCAATGTGCCACACAACCTCGGATAATATAGGAATTTCCACGAAACAGCGCGGCTTAGGCTAATTGCTCTCAAGCTTTTATCATCCAAATAAAATACTGTGTCTGTGGGGTGGTGCCTCCTAAAAGAAATAGAAAAAATCGCAGAGAGCACGCTCAATGCTGAATGGACGATGTGGTAATTTCTCAAACAAGCTTGAACTTTCTCAAAAAAGTTTTGGGCCCGTAGGAAAGTGTGGTATCTTGCTGTCGCGCTATCTATATTATACAGCTACAAGCAAAATCTTGGAAGCACTATTTCTGACGAACTCCCGGACCGATAAGGATGATCTTTACATGTATGTCACCTGTAGTAGATGTAGATGTGCAAAAAATTATGAAACCCCGAGCTTTTAATGTTGTAGAGCTTTTAAAGCTCATGTCACTTAAGTCCAATGTTAATAGCGTGAGAGATATGGCGTTTCCGCTAGAAACGTCAAGGTGTGGGATTCTACCTGAGTAACTCGAATCCCAAGTAGCATGGATTGCAATTTCATTGCAATGGATTGTGAGTTGATTGCAATTTTTGCTTGTGGCCTATACGTTCATTTGAAGGCGCTTAAAAAGTTGCAATTTTATTGCAATAAGTTTGCAAGAAATGTAGATTATGCTTGTTGCCTAACCTTCTTTTTCAAGGCACTATAAAGACTGCAATTTCGGTGCAATCATGTTGTAACAAATTCACGCCTTGTGCCTGGCATCCAATTCTCTAGTTGTTTTAAAGTTTTTTCGACTTAAATGTCTCACCTAACCCATATAGCCCAACATATTTTGAAAATATTGTCACCTTTATCAAAATATTTTCATGGCAATATTGTAATTAAAATATTTTCAAAATATTTTTAAAACATTTTAAAGGAATATTTTGAAAATGTTTACAAAAAATATTTTTAAAATAATTCAAAAATATTGCCTGTAAACATGCATGTTAAAAATATTCCTTAAGAAAGTTTTGAAAATATTTTAAAAATATTTTTTGAAAATATTTTAAAAATATTTTTTGAAAATATTTTAAAAATATTTTTTGAAAATATTTTTAAGTTCTCAAGTTAGTATGTGGTGTAATTTACACCGGTGTAAATTTAGTGTGAGTACCTATTACGTGATATCGAAAAAAAAAATCAGACAAAAAAAATATGAAAAAAATAAATAACACGAAAAAAAATAAATAATAGGCAAAAGAAAGAAGCCTGAGAAAAACGGCGTTAATCAAATCTATGATGAATGTTGAGCCACGCACTGACGCAATGCATGCGATAACAGCCTTAACAGGCGTGATTTCAACCCAGCTCATCATCAGCTCCCTGTAGCTCAGTGGAAGAGTGCTCCGCTATGACATTCGCGGGTCGGGTTCAAGCCCACTCAAGAACGTCCGGTATTTTATGCTGCTAAACGTCGTAGGACATTAGGTAAGCATGGGTTCGAATTATTATAATTTCCCCGGAAAATTTAGGGGTTGAAATTTAAAGGTCGTCAATATTGAAATTTCTTTGCAAAAAAAAAATTGCAACTTTTTTACAATGAGGGGGTCAGATGTTGTAAAATAATTGCAATTTTCTTGCAAGAGAGTTGAAATCATCTGGAAATTTTATTTCATTTAAATTGCAATTTTTTCGTTGCAAAATGCTACTTGGGATAAACAATAAAACCATGAAGAAGCTCGTGAAGGGCTCCTCATTCGAAGAGTTGAGGAACGGTGCATCGCTCAGGGTTCAAGGTTCAGGTCCAAGGTTTAACTCAATTTTTCCGGCTTCGATTTGTGGCATTGGTCAATTTACTTGATTGCTGAATTTCTATTAATATTTACAGCAGATACAAAACGAGAAGGCAGGCGCTGCGTCGCGTCGGGACGGACCAAATATTATTAACTCTTGACGGTCAAAATCCGATTTTTATTTATTTTTTTTATTTTTTTTTTTTTAAATTAAGTATTTAAAAATAACATAATAAATGGAAATGTCTCCAGTAAGTGGACTGTGAAATTACGTACATCCAGCTATTCCTCGTCATTTACAAATCTGAGTGTTGCGTCAAAAATTTTGAAATCGATGCAGCCCGAACACAAAATGGTGTATTAAAATGGAAGAACATTTTTGCCTATACATATGCGTATAGGGCCCGCGAGGCGTCCTCCCGGGGGTTGAGCCACATAGCGGTCAGGGGGCAGGGCCCCCTAGTAACAATCTACACATACACAAATGCGCTCATGAACATATAGACGTGTTTGTTTCCAGTTATTTCAAGAGTGCCAATGCCGTTTTGGTAATCGATTATTGTTTAAATTTTCAAAAAATGAGCTTGATCAGTAATTTTTAATTCTTGCAGTTTTGAAAAGTGGTGAGTTTGCATAGTTCACAAGAATTTCCCCCGATTTTATGAACAATATTAACCCTTGAAAATTTAGTTATAAGTTACGTAATTGGATGCAACAGTGAAAAATTCCTGACCTGACTTACTGGTAGCAGACCTTCAGAATTTCAAGAATTTTCCTGCGATGGGCGTATGGGGCCTGTCTCTGGCTGTCATTAGTCGAGGGACCACGAAGTCACTTTCGCGTGCCACCCTGAAACTTTCAGGGTATCTCCTAGGGTCCCTGAGACACCTTCTTCCAGTAATCAAAATATCCGTTTACCGGGGCAACATATTCAATACGGCCGTGGCCTCCAAAATTGAAGGGTCCGGAGGTGCTCACAAAATCAACGATTTACTCGAAAATTTTCACGGATATGCAAGATTGTCAGAGGATCAAAAATGTTCTACGTAAAATGTTACTCAAGTTTGGACCACCTGAGCCCCTTGATTGTGAGAAGAGAACTAATTTTTTCACAAAGTTTCGGAAGCTTCTAAATATTTTGAAAACTTGACGTGAGCATTTCTATGACCCCGGTGACTTTAGTGTTTAGACTGAGTACTATAAAACCTCTTAATACCCTCTATTGTAAGTACCTAATGAGTAGAAAGCAAGGTGTTGTGGATATATTTCTTCAATTCACTTAAGTCATTTTCGGCTTACGCCACCTTAGATAGGTGCAATGGTCTTTCTTTTCATCTTTTGCGTTTTTTTTTTTTTTTTTTTTTAATTTCAACACCATCATATATTTGTGATGTAAATTTTCGTAAAAATTTCGAACTGTGGCTTTGTTTATGTTTAAGATTTGTAATATTGCTATGATGATGGCGTAAGCCGAAAAGCGCTTCAGTGAATTGAAGAAATATATCCATAACGTCATGGTCTCTATTCACCTACCTGCAAATCATACCCTCAGGTTACATTACATGATCCGTCAAGTTCAAACCTGCAAAGCCCTGCCACTCCCGTTGTAGCGAAAAATCTCATTTTTTTGCGATTTCCAGTTTGACGACAGTTTCAAGAAAACTTAAGCGAAAACTACTCAGACCTAGTTCGAGGAAATTAGTTACGATGTGATAAAATTACACTTTCCGCAGAATATGAATACACGTACCTCTGTGTATGATGAATTGATGAGTATCCAAACCTAAGTGATATCAACTTCACTATATCTAATCTGAGAGGTGCTCTGCGTGTAATGTCGTTCGTTGGCATTTCACATAGTTTTTTGTTTCTCTCCTTCTTTTTTTATCTTTTGAGACACATGCTCTTTTTTGTTTAAAAACCATGCTGTTTCGCCCATGTTTTTAAAATAACCATTGGCTGTAACGCGCAATGAAAGCTTCGCCGAAGAACGTTCACTTTTCCCGTCGCACGGTGGATCGAGTCATAGGGCAGGCCGGACATGGCACATCACGCGACTTGGTTTGCTCATTTACGTAGTGTTTGCGCTCATAAAACAAATCATTATACATGATTCTTATGTATTTTTCGTCGCAGATTTCATTTTTGATGACTATTTTCCTGATTATTGGGTTTAGATATGTATTTTGGCACAATTTCAGATAAATAAAGAGATATTGTTTAACAACAGATAAGTTTAAACTTTCTACACTCATTTCAATCGAAGTTTTAAGTGTTCAATGGACTTTTCTCTCCGGTAAAATGTTTAAATATCGTATATAAAACGTATATTAATCATCTCTTTTACCATTCCCCCTCCTCTCCCCCAAAAAATGAATTAATAGAAATCCGAAAATGTTGAGAGGAAAACAGAGGATCTCCTTTCCCCTTCATTCCTGGGGCACCTTTTTAGCTTTCTAACAAAAGAAAATGACAAGGGTGAAAAATATGAGAGAAAAATACAAATCAAATACACATCAATCAACACAAATCATGTATTATCCGAGCCTTCCTATTTAAGGGCCCCGTGAGTCACCATTTTGCACTGCCTTTATTTATACTTAGGTATCTAATGGAGCTTCTTCGGCTTAATGATTGCTGCTGAAGCTCAAATTACCTCAATTTTCTCTATTAACTTCTAATTTTCCGAAGAAATTAAACGTAAAAAAAAAATCCGATGTCAAAAACCGCGAGTTTTTGGGAAATAGTTAGAAGATAGAAAAGAATTTAGGCCATTTTTGACTTTAGCATCAAGTAGTAGATGAAAAATGCTCCATTAGACACCACCTTGATATAATTTTCCCCGTCTTTTCAGACGCAAAACAAACGGATCAGTATCATATGGATTAGGACATTTGAGAGGAAAACCCCGTTATCTGAAACAACGTGGACATTTTTTTAACCACGCAAGGCATGTTTTCTCATGTATTTTTGTCTCCTGGATTCGAAAATGACCTTGGTCTCTGTTTACCATGCACCAGTTTTCCGGAAAATCACATTTCCCGAAAAGTCCATTTTAAGTGGAAAATCTCAATTTTCCAGAAAATCGGTGGGTGTTGGAGAAAAACCAAGGTCATTTTCGGACTCAGCACTAAAAATTACATACAGATCACCTATCAAATGCCCGGTGTTTATTCGCCACAGACCTGTGAAATTCGAATTCTCTCGAGCCACCATTTTATGAACTTCACTTTTTCAAAATCATTTAAGCTTTATTCCCAAAATGGCACTTTGGGGCAGCCAATTTTTCTTGATAATGAATCTTCAGGGATCACTTAACACTGCTATACAAAGGTTTCCCTGAAATACGCTGAAATAGCTAGTTAAAAGTCTAGCTATATTATTATTTTTACGGTATTGAGGAGGGTACTTTTAAACAAGAATACCGCTTATAAAAATAGCGATATTTTAACTTGTTATTAGTGAAATATATTCTACTTAAGGAGGAGAACAAGCTACTTTAGTCAGAAATTGTCATAAATCTATCGGAGGGAAATACCAACAGGCGAACGGTTTGTCCCGAGTGAGGCAACATTTTTCGAGTGCCGCCTGAGCCACTTTAGGAGGCTGTGTGCGTTAAACTGGGGTTAAAAAATTGAAAACCAATACCTGTATCATAAAATATAACTCTTTGGGAAGACATTTACATCAATGAAATGACTATTTGTGAGAATCGCCCATGTCCGACTTTTTGCAGGTTTCGATCCACCGTGCGTCGATACTACGTTGAGTCTTTTACGTCTTTTTCAGTGGTTGGCGGCCGCGTGGCCGACACCAACAATTTTTTACAATTTACAAAAACTAAATGGGTAGTTATGCACTCCCTACATGTGCGAGGAATCAAAACCTCACGCGATTTTAGCTAAACTGCGTCACGTGTGTGAGGGCAAAGTGATTTTCTTTTTTTCCGAAATCAAATTGCAGTATATTTTTCATCGAAAGATTTCCATACTTTTATTGACTTTTATATTACATTCAATTTTTTCGTAAAATAAATACAGCGACGATGAAAACAACAATAAAAATAGCACGAAAATAATGAAGTTTGAGTTTCATTCAACTCGAAAAAATCACATCGTAGGAATTTATGTAATTTACACTTACTTTACCATCTAATGGTGAAAATATTTAAAACTATCAATAAAAAAGAGACATTGTAGGACAAACAAGAGTATTGAGATTCCTTTGAATTCGAAAAATGCAGCCAAGCTGCCACCATTTCAAGAGGTTATCTCATGATAAATAATACTAAAATATATTTTTAAATACAATCGCAACAAAATGTTTTCTCGCGGAACCAAATTCTCGTCGAAAGTTGCCAAGTCCCAAAAAGGATTCAATTGATTACATCTTATCCTTAAAGCAATGGGAAATAGTTCTATTTGCGTGAACTTCGTGCATTTTGGAGATATTTCAAAACAGGATCGGTGGATGTCAAAATCGATTATGTCCATTATTTGATGAGCCGCATAAAACATAAATAGTCTTATGTCTTACGCGGTTCATCAGATAATAGTTATCTTCGGTTCTTACATCCGCCGTTTCACTTGTCGGACACTTCGTGACGGTATATTATGATAGAATCATACACTGGAGCGTTATTAAAAATATTATCAACAACACTGATAACTGACCCACTAAAAAAATCAATAAAATTCGAAACGAAAGCTAAAACTAAATAAAATTCTCGTGACAACGATTCTTAAAACTACATATAACAAGCATCCTCGTGCAAATGTCGCCTCGCGCATTTTGTTATCACGCCGGGAGTTTCGCTCTTTCTAAAATTAATTAGAAGCTAATTTTGATGGAGCCCTTTTGTTGAGCGGGCGGTATAAATACTGGTATCACAGGTATTGGTGGAGGTAATGACTAGCATTTGCGGGCTCGGTCAAAGCCTCTGGAGAAAGGGTATCACTCGATGATCAGCTTGGTTTTCGGGTCCTCGAGGTACTTGCCCTTGTGCGTCTCGAAGAGCTCCATAAGTTCCTCCATGAAGATCTTGTGGTATTTGTCCACGAGCTCGCTCGAAGGGTTCGGCTCCTGCGGTAACATGATTGGTCTCCCAACTGGAAGTCGAAACAGAAATCATTTAACTAAAAATCCGTTGAATTTTTCATAGTATGTATGTAGGTTGACAGCGGTAGGGATGGTCGAATTCGAATTATCGGCACCGAGATAATCGCATCACATTCGAATATTCGTTTCCGAGATATTCGAAATCGCAAATTCTAATATTCGAATAATCGCATTCAAAAGTATCAAAAGTGTCATTTTATCTCTCACGATTCATAAAAAATCAAAACAAAGCAACAATCGAAAATATTCGAATATTCGCTTCTATATATTCGCTGAACTATTCGCAATCTCAAGATTCGAATTCTCAAATAATCGCAATAATCGCATTCGGAAAGTTTCGAATATTCGAATAATCGCATTCGAATTCGACATTCGTCCATCCCTAGACAGCGGGCTGATTGCTGAAATTGATAGACAAAGCTATACACAAAGAAGACATAGAGTGTATGGCCCGATCCTAATGGTTGAAATGGGTGGTTCTTATAGACGAAGGGAGAAAATTATGGACTAGTTAGTGCATCCTTCTCTATTGCTAATGATTAATGTATACATTATTCTACCTTTCCTTCCCTATTGCTAATAAATTGTTAAATATCTTCTTAATTTAATATATCTAAGTGCTGTTTTGTATGTACAAAACTGAATCATGTATAAATGTAAAAATTGTATAAAGCTGAATTATCTATTGATAACATAAATAATAAGATCAGATTGAGTAATTTAATCAGATGGTCACTCAAAATTTAAGGGCGCTTGCTTACCAACAGTTGTGATGGGGGTTCGCCGGGGAGCGATGCCAAAGGAGTACTGAAAGATGCCTCGACCCAGGGGTATGCATGGCGCCACGCCCAAAACCTTCTTAAGCGTGCTCTGAAGCCACAGGAGCCAGGAGCCGGGCGGGTTGGACACTTGGTCAAACACATCCGTTTCCCCAAACGAAAAGACGGGCACTAGAGGAGCACTGGGGAAAAATAAAAATACAACATTTTTAGGATGGAATAAATAGGTCGTTAGACGAATAGAGAAAAAGATGTGGCACTAAAAAATGTTTGCAGATGATGAGTCCGTTTGCAGGGTGTCTAGCATTAGGATTTTCCCGATTCTATCAGGATTTGAGGTCAATCAGGATTTAATCCTGATTTCATCAGGATTTGAGGAAAAATCGGTCGTAAAATCAGGATTTGAGGAAAAATCGGTCGTAAAATCAGGATTTGAGAAAAGTCGGCTGTCCGATCGAATTTTTTTATCGAGCTATTTTGGTGAAGTCACATTCGCCTCCGCCAAAAATTTCGAATCAGGATTTGGAAAAGTCATGAAATCAGGATTTAGTAGTCAAAAATCAGGAAAAATTAAGATTTCTTCAGGAATTTCCAAAATGAAAAAAAAAAAAACTAGAGACCCTGGTTCGGCTAGACATTGGGAAAGAAAAGAAGAGACGTATGTCACATTAACCACAATGCATGTGTCGCAGGCAAATAGTAAAATCAGGCATTTTGTCAAATGCCTAGGCAAATAGTCAAATATTCTAACTTTGATTGAAATTCTGATTCCTTTCCTAATTTCAGAAAAAATAATTCATTGTTCCTGCAAGAAAAAATTCTCCGTAAAAATTTGCAAACACAATAGTATTGTAAACTATTTTTAGCTCCTGAAGAGACACTGATCTTGAAGTTTTCAGCATCATGTCGTAAAATACAGAATTTTTAGAATTTCAACATTTAAAAATATGATAAGCAATTGAAGAGGAGGTCATAGTACATTTCGTCAACGATTTTTTGTCTGCGACCTGTTTTTTCCAGTAATTTACGTCCACGCATTTTTTCGGCACGGGAGTTTTGGTCCACGTGCCACTTGAGACCCAAAGTTAATTGGCCCACATGTAAATACAAACGACAATTGCCCACGACGTTTCTGGATGAAAATGTATAATGTCTTGGAAGAATGAGGGTTTGCTTGTTTTTTTGTTTTGTCTGTTTGGTCCAACGGAGAATAATATATAGTTGAGAGTTTTGGTAAAAATGGGGGAGCGTCAATTCCACGAGACAAAATTCTTTTAAACTCTCTACACCTCTTTCGTGTAACAGGACTTAATTATCCTTCAAGAAATTCCCACAGCGGGGTGATTATTGAAACCATGTCAGCACGATAAGACAAGACATAGCCCTATCTTAACCACGCAATATATCGCATTTCGATGTCTTATCGGGCTGCTTTAAACTTTCAATAATCGGCCCGCTGAACCGGATAAACCTCTATATTTGCCTCAGCGAAAGGCTCTTTGATTTTTCCTGTGTACGATAAGTATCTTGATTTATTTTGCGAGGAAAGATCTCGGGATCTTAATGGATGCCTGTCATTCTTAATACGTTCAATTTCGTATAATGTGCAACACCTCTGTTGTGAAATAGTTGCTTTATTAGGCGCCGTCACACTGCGGGCGGGCGGCCAAGCGCGGAACGCGCATTGGCGCCTACAAACCTAAGTGGATACTTCAAGCATTGTGCAATGCGTGAAGTATCCACTTAGGTTTGTAGGCGCCAGTGAGCCTCTCGCGCTGGCAACACGCCGCTCCGCTCTGTTAAACTCTCTTTAATATTTATACTCGCGTAGTCAGAGTTTTTTAACTCATGATTTTGAAATGTTTGCACACTTTAAAAAGACTTTCGTAGGTTTGATGAGTTATTTTTCAATAAATAGTGATAAATCGTGAGCTCTTCGCCATAAATTCACGAAATTTTGTAGACTGTCAAAACTTGACTATCTGCCTAGGCATTTGACAAAATGCCTGATTTCACTATTTGCCTGCGACCTATTGCATCATCAGTTGACTCATTGGTTACCACATAAATTTATGTTGAGTGGTGCCATTCTCTGTTGTGACATATGCCTCTTCTTTTCAATCCCCAGTTCTATTCGGCCCTCCGATCCGTAACGCCTTCATTTTAGTGTATATGCAGCACGGGCATCCGTTGAGCACGAATAGTTGTATCAAGGCGTTCGTGTCATCGTTGCGTCGCATTCGTCGGTCTAGTTTGTTCCTTGGTAAACGCGCCTGTCCTGTTCTATCTTGCTGTTATTAGTGAAGTGAATGTAAACGAACGTGGCATTATCATTAGCAATTTATCTGTTTGTTTAAACATTTGTCATTTCCCACAAAGAAACGTGATTACTTTCAAAGGTTGCAAAATTGACCGAAAGCATGACTATGCTATAACTATGTAACATTTTGTTTATATCTGCGTGTATCTGAGGAATAATCAGAGAAATGTTCAGTTAGAAAGGTTCAACGGTTCTCTAATGTAAATGCAATCAGTGGAGGGAAATTTTGCATCGTTGAAATGTAGTTATGTACGTTCTCTCGTTTTGGAAAGGACAAATTCAGAGAAAATTTTTAACATTCCAAAGATTAAGTAAAAAGAGAAGCCTGCATGTATTTGAGTATATTTCTAGCAGCAGGCTGATTATTGACATGGATAGACAACCCCATAGACAAAGAGGACAAAGGATAAATTGAGCGATTCTATCGGTGGAAGCGGGTGGTTGCAATGGAGAAAGGAGGCAAGTAATAAACTAACTAACGGCAACTCACGGAACGCCCTTTGGTTAGTCCATCATCCCCCCCCTTGCTTATTCTAACCACCCGCTTTGACCAATAGGATCATTTCATTTTCTTTTTGTCGTCTCTTTCTACAGTTTGGTCTATCAATTTCAAGGATCCGCCCGCTGTTACAGTATCATTTTCGTTAACCATAATGGTAGAGTTACGTATAGCTATAGACTAACAGTGGGCCATCATTTTGTACCAGTTACAGAATCGTTTAATGATTCAAACTTCCAGCAAAATATAATAAAATCTGTTCAATATTTCCAGAGACTTCGCCCTTTGAAACACACGGCGAATGACGCCATCGACCAAGGTTGTGCATACTATGGTTTCTTCCACCTTTGTTTCATATCAGTGAGACACATTGGCATTGATTGCTAAATGTAAAACACGGATAAAACCAAGGTGAACGAAACCACGTTATGCACTACCGCGGTGGATGACGTAATTTACCGACTACCGCGGTTGATGACGTCATTCAGATACCTCCGATGTATTGAACCTATAAACATGTCGTCCTAAATTGTATGGCTATGTATCGCCAACCAATCTGTAAGCTTAAACCACACTGGAAAAAAAACACATTGGATCTAGAGTCCAGACTCTTAAAAACATCGACAAGAAAAAATACTCTCGATTCAATCAGATTTAAGCTTAAATCAAGAACCAAGCCTCTTAATTTGAGCGGATTTCCTTTTGATTTAAGCTTAAATCTGATTGAATCTAGAGTCTTTTTTCTTGTCAATGTTTTCAAAAGTCTGGACTCTAGATCCAATGTGTTGTTTTTTCCAGTGCATTAAATAACGAGTCTATGGTCATTGATGCTCTGGACTTACCCGGTTTCGAGTGCGACCCTGATGAATCCCTTTCGTCGCTTGAGGATGATCTTGTAGGAGCCGGGGTGGCAGTAGAGGGACTCGGAGGCCCCGCCGACCATCAGCACGACCGCCTTGCCTTTCTCCGGGTGGCCCAGCAGGTACGTCATGCTCTCCCGCGACGATGAGCAGCTTCCTGCACACGACAATCCAGACAAATGTTCACAATTGGAGCAGAGTAATTAGGTCAATTCCTCCCAGCCACCCAGATAGCTCTCAATATCGAAGAGGCGGGCTCTTTTTTCGTTACCTGATTACTAAAGCTACATTATCCATAGGCGCACAGTGGGCTGGTGGTTGAAATGGACCATTAGACAAGGTACGAATTTAAGCGATCTGATACATGTTTCTTATCCAGAATTTCACGTAAAACACGATTCACACAACGAAAATTACTGAAATCAACTCCTAACGAAGATATTATCGTTTTTTTCACATTGGTTATATTACGAGGAATTTGAACTGCTCGCTCACAAGAAACTCAAAGCTTTACGTGAGTCAAATCGCGCAGTACAACGGTTTCAGCAAACTTCTCAATCGAGCAATGTTCATTTCCCACCATGTGTTGTTCAAACTATTAGCAATTTGCTATAGCTGAGCCAAAGCGTCAAGATTGAGGTTGCCAGATTTTTATATCGCAGAGACTGTCATGATAACGTTTAGCGCGCGATGTGAATCACGTAGAGCATTCAGTTTTCATGAGCGGGTGGTTTGAATTCACGAATCAAGTATCATTAAATATCTTTGTAAGGAGTTAATTGCGGTAATTTTTGTTAAGCGCATCGTGTTCTACGTTAAATTTTAATTACGAAACATGTATCAGAATGCTGAAATTCGTACCTTGTCTAGTGGTCGCCCATTGTTAGACAAAGCTGTAGACAAGGAAGACATAAGGTGTATGAAGCGATCCTATCGGTTGGAATGGGTGGTTCTTATAGACTAGGGGAGGAAATGATGGACTAACTAAAGGGTCTTCCGTGGGTTGCCGTTGGTTAGCCCATTGCCGGCCTCCTTTGTCCATTGCAATCACCCGCTTCCACCAGTAGGATCCATCCATATCCTTTTTGGCTTATTTGTCTATCGCTTTGTCTATGCATTTCAATGAGCGGCCCGCAGGCGTAGCTAGGTTATGTTGCTGAGGACGGCTTGAAGCCCTGGGGGCCCCTCTATTAGGGGGGAGGTCTGGAAGGTATGGAATACCCCCTAGACCCAGTCCTAAGAGATCCCCGTGGGATTTCGATATTATTGAGGTTTTGGATGAACGAGGCGCCGAAAAGTACGGAGTAGCCATTTTTCATGAGTCCATGACCGTCGCTAATATTCAGAGCAAACCCACAATTTTCCTAAAATTTGTGGGTCGTATCTACGATGGGGGAAGGAGAGGTAGTTTTGGGGGTGGGAAGTATACAGAGAAAAGAGGGCTTATTTTAACCCAGAGCACACGCTCCTGCAGGGTATACTCTTTATTGATCGCGAGATAGGTTTTCATTAATGTTCATGACAAGCCAAAAACCCGAAGTCAAAGCGAAGTTCCGGTGGTTTGAAGATATCGCGGTTCAAAAAACGTAGTTTGGAGAAAATTCTACCGAAAATTCTGATCCACCACGTTCAGGACCCCAGAGCACCGCATATTACTGTCATTTTAAACCTTTATTAGTAAAAAAATTAACAGCTTTTCCTTACTACTTATAACTCTATCTCCAAAACGCTTGACGTAGAATTTCTTCCAACATCGCAAAATCCGATTATTTGATCCAACTCAACAAAAACGAGTCACAAAAATTTTGTCACCGTGGACTAATTTTGAGATTATTCACGCGAACGGTCAAAGATTATCACTGATCAATGGTTCCGAGATTCATTTTAACTGCTAGCTCTTTTTCAGTGCCGAGTTTCTAGTGTCACTCCTATAAAGTTCCTTCAATTCTGAAGAGTATGCAATTTGACCTGCATCAACTCACGCACTCCTTCGTGAGTCTGGCAGGCAGAATTTCATGATACTGTTTCTTTGAGGAACGTGGGTCCGAATTCGAGGACCAAATTACCGGAATGTAAAAATCCAACTAAAGTTGGTCTCGGCGAAATGGGAATGAGCTCGAAAACTGTCGTGTCCGGATTCCCGAAGGACTTCATATTCGGAAAAACACATAGAACCCATTTGAGTTGTGACTATTCGGATCTAAATGTTTTGCACCACGACGACCTATTGGTACATATAACGTAAGTGTAATGTTCTTCTAGAATGTCCACTTTAGGCTATAGAGTTTCCTTTTTTAACGGGACTCAAACTTGGGTAAAAAGTTATATATTTATCCTCATAATCATTTTCCACGTTCCTAACCTCTTATCTTTCTGTTCACAGGCGAGAACTTGACCCCATTGCAATACTTGATTCCCAAATTCAACTAATTTGGTAAGTTTCTTGTGTTTGATAATTCTTTAACCTTTGATAACCTGCTTCATTCAACGGACTGAAGAGTCAGTACAAAAAATCGCTCGAAATCGTCCCCTTATTCATACTTTTCCTGATAAGAAATCAGAAAATATAATATCAAGGGACCAACATGTATTTCAGTATTCCTACTTAAGCTTAAAGCCCCTGAAGTCCTAAAGTGAACGTAAAGAAAACTTTTCCCAGCTCCCGAAATTCGGATTTTGACCCCATGCCTGATGCTCACAATTAAATATGAGCTAATAAATGATTTGTCAATGGGATTTTTAATTTTTGCTAGTTTGATGAGTGTTTATAACTGAAATATACAAAACCTGTTTGATTACGCATTTATGCTCAACATTTATTTGGTTCTGTTTTTAAAATATTTATTTTTTTTATTTTTTGGATGTGTATTAATACCAGGTTTATCGGTTGGTGTCGTGGGTGGGTGTTGGATGAGTCGACTTTAGTCACATTCTGTATTTTCTCGTGTTTTGTCTCGTGTCCTCTCTCTGTTTTTTCGTGCAAGTTGGGGGAAATTTCCATAAAACACAGAAAATTTGGATTCATAGTTAGCTAGTACTATCTATCATAGCAAATTTAAGGAAAATTTCGGAAAAACACAGGAAATTGGTGTTCAGAAATCACTCCGAGCTCTATACCTGAACACCTGACAGGAAGTGGCAACCTGCTTAAGCTTACAAGATCTTTTCATTTGCGATGTGTTACGGAATCTGGCTGATTGTCTATTGGTCTAACGAAATGTCATAGGACTCATTTATAGACCTCGAAATTTGGAAGTGCAATCATCAAGACCAACGCAACGGTGCCGGCGCGGCATGGTAGGAAGGCCCTGCAGACCTTGAACCTGAGATTTTGATACCCAGGTGCTAATATGTTCGTTGTTTTGTCGGCGATCAGCGTTGGCGGAAGTTAATTGTATGCGTAAATATTGCCGCATCTCGCATTAAATACGTATGCAATATATTCTATCCACATAGGAATATCCTGACAAATAGACGCGAAGTGGCAACATGGGTGCATCGCTCATCATCTCCGTGTTCAGTCATAGACGTACGCAACGCATTATCACTCCCACCATTGAAAGCTGTCGATTCGTTAGCGAAATCTGCAATGCGTTTTTGTGCCTGTCTAATGAATTAATGGTGAGTTTCATGCGGCACTTGATAGGAACTTAGAAGAGCATTTAGCCAAAAGGCATCATGGACTTGGAATGGAGGGAATTAGTAATAGCCATAAACTCGGAGAACTCGTTGTTCAAAATGTAACGTCGCAAATTTCCTCTCGTGTTTTATTTTTAGTAAAAAAAATGACTCGTTCTTTTTTCATGATTTTTTTAAAAATGTGTCTTCGCTCTTACAATATTATTCCTAAAACAAGAACGACCCACAATATTTGTTGCAGGTTTTTCTTAAAAACAAAAAATTAAATAAAATAAAATATGGACGGAGGTTTTAAGATCTCGTTGCAAAATAGTCACAGGAAACGATATTATTTGTTTTGATTAGTCAAATTATTTCTGCGTTTTTATAGAGTAAAGTAAGTTTTCAGTAAGCGCTAATATCTCACTTACGCCCTGGTAAAAATTGGCGATAGGAGCTGCGTTTCAAAATACCATAGGAATTCTTATAGCCGGCTAAAGAAGGCAATAGAAAATCATATAGCTGGCTGTAGAAAGCGGAGCAAATCATATAGCCGGGCTATACGAAGCGATAAAAAAGTATGCAACTGGGCTTTTTACACTTTATCGCCATCGGCTATAAGAAATTGTGTAGAAATTCGTGTGCTTTGGAAATCATTAAGTTTGATACGGAGCCAACATAATATTCACAAAACACACATTATATTTTCCTTTAATACGTATTTTTTTCATCGTTTAAAATGAGAATAATCCATACAGGATGTGCAAACATTTCAAAATCATGAGTTGAAAAACGCTGACTCCGCAAGATTATATTGGAGCATAACACAGAGTGGAGCGGCGTGCTGCTGCTGCCAGCGATAAGCGCGCACCAGCGCCTACAAACCTAACTGGGATACTTCACGCATGGCGCAATGCGTGAAGTATCCCTGTTAGGTTTGTAGGCGCTAAGGCGCTTTTCGCGCTGGCTGCCCGCCTGACGCACCGCAGCGTGCCACGGCGCTTGAAGCAACTATTTCACACCAGAAGTATTGCACAGTATCATACGAAATTGAAGGCGCTCCAACATATTAGGAATGGCAGGCATCCTTCAAAAGTACGGAGCTTTCCGCGCAAAATAAATCACGATACTGCGGCCCAAAAATAGAGCGGTAGTCCAAAAACTCACTAAGTCCTAGCATCTGTAATTAGTAACATGTAGCATACACTTTATCGCCTGGCTGTTGCTCAATCGTCATCGGCTATAAAAGGCTATAAGACATTGTGCAGCTGGCTATAGAAGCTATTGAAAATCTTACAGCCGGCTTTAGGTCTATGGTTTTTTGGAACACAGATTCTACTGCCAATTTTTACCAGGGCGAGTCGGTCAACACATCTAATGTGTATTCATGCAAGAACTCTAGACGAGGAAACATGTCTCACGATTTCCTATACTCGTATCGTACTTCGTTTTCGGTTTCTTCTGCTGTGAAATGCGGCACCGACATAATATTTCAAGCATCTAGGCAGCACAGCTCACCCGTAACGATTTCTCTCCATATCCAGATTGGCATTTTCCCTATAGCGGATCCAAACATTTCCAACGGGAGGGTGATCNGGGGGGGGGGGGGGGGGGCTGCGGCTGCCCCCAGAATATTCTCGAAATTTTAAAGCATCTAATACGCAGCCTGAGTCAGTTGCGCCATGTATTATTACATCAAATATAAGCTACCTTCTTCCTGTCTCCCCTTTTTCATCCTCCCTCTTTTCGGGCGATCAGGGAGGGGGGCACGCCCCCTACGCCCCCCCCCTTGGATCGCCTATAATTTCCCCAACTCCTGCTTGGAAGTATCAGTTACTGCAGTACGTATCGCCTTTGCACGCATCTCCGTTTATCGAAGTGCTAGCTCATCGTTCGCTCCTCCAGGAAATCGACATCGGTTAAAGCCAAATTTTTTGATTTTCGCATATTTAACATTGATACACCAGGGAGAAGGTCCACGATAATCTGGCAACCCTGGTAATGGTGTATGTTGTCTCGTGCCGTGGCCGTGCTAACCGTACTGCAACGCATCACTGATTGCCCGTCGGCAATCAGTAACCGTTTATCGGACAATTTTCTCCCGCGCTGATTATTACGAGTGTGTCGTGTGTCACTCGATGCAACCAACAACAGGAGTGTCTCTCTCCAGCGTCGCGCGTCGTCGTCATTATGACTCTCCATTCCGTGTTGAATAGGATTCTTCAGTATCATTGTCAGGGTCTGTTCATAAATTACGCCATGCTCTGAGGAGAAGAGAGGAGAAGAGAGTGAGGGGGGAGAGAGGGAGAGAGAGAGAGAGGAGAGGAGAGGACAGGAGAGGACAGGACAGGAGAGGAGAGGAGAGGAGGGGAGGGGATCCTCGTAAGTTGGCTACACTATCTTCTCCATTTAAATTATTAATAATTACGGAATAAATATATAGATTTCAGAATTGATTGTTAAAGTAACATTTTAATTGAAAATCACCACTGGGGAGGAGAGATTTGGTTCAGTGCGATTGGCGTGTAACAGATGGAGGGAGGGAACGTACTTGAGAGTACCTAGAACTTGGTTCCTCACGACAATCTTTTGAAAATTCTGCCTTGCTGAAGAAAAACGCCGTATGTACATTCGAGAGTTGCCAAATTTCCCCGGATAAAACATGTATTGTTGAGGAACGTTATGCATGTTTTTCTTTGAAATTTTCAGATATTTTAGATCAAAATGCGAACAAAATTAGCTGAAAAATTTGAAGAAAAATATTCACAATCTTCTCAATAAATTCGTTTTATATTGAAGGAAATATAACAGTGCCTAAAGGTTCATACGGCGTTATTCCCTAGCACGGCATTATTGCACGTGGATCTTTTTTAAAAATTCTTAATTTAGATATGCCAAGTTTGCTCGATTCCGTCTACACCATATGGATTGCATTTTGCAAAAAGGAACCACTAGCATCGCAATATTGCTCAGATTGTACAACTTCTTTTGTCTTGGCGGGAAAACCGGATTATCCATTCGTAGTTTCTATTTTACTCTCTAAAAACTGTAAATTTAAGACAAAAATTACCATCTAAATTTCATAGTTTTTCACGATTTCCGCAATTTTATTGCAAAAGATGAAGTTGCACAATCTTAGCATCATTGCAATGCTAGTGGTTCCTTTTTGCAAAATGCAATCCATATTTCCTGGTAGACATTGGTACTCACCTAAGCAAAGAAGGAGCTCGCGGAAGATGGGCATGTTGAAGTGAACGTTGAGAGTGAGGAGGTAGGTGGTGAGTCCGGGGAAGAGGCGCTTGAACTCGGGCGAGGCGGCCACGAAGTTGCCGAAAGCCCCGCTGCAGAGCATGCCGTGCGGGTAGCCGCAGAACAGGTAGTTCTTGTCCGCCGGCAGGTCCTCCAGCTTCACCAGCCCGATCGGGAAGTACTCCCGCATGTAGTGCCAGCAGCTCCAGTTCCGCACCCACTCAGACCTGCAGAACCCACAAATCATTCGTCAGTCATAAACATAGAGAAAAAAAAGCAGGTGTTTGCATCTTGAGGTTTGTTTACCCTGTGACGTAGGTCGGTACAACCTGGCCAGCGAAATCCGGAATTCGAAGTATGAAAAACGAACCATAATGTCCCATTTTTTTGCTTAAATCAACTCATGATATAATTTCATGCACTTTTTATGGAATGACTTTTTTCCATAAATCACACCATTTCCGAGAAAATTGATGATAAAAGTCGCTGTACCGACCTACGTCATGAAAAAAATCCAAGATACCCGAAATGCAAACACCTCCTTTTTTTCTCTATGAGTCATAAAAACAGAGTCCTCTCGTTACTTGGAGCCCTGCGAGGCAAAATCTAGGTCAGGCAAACCTGTAACATCTTTTCAGGCAGCGCTCCCGGAAGGAGTACCGAATTCCGGAACTTTTGAGATTTTCCTAAATTTTTCCCGGAACTTATGAAAGTCCCGAAATGTTCCGGATCTTTTGCTTTTTCTCGGAACTTTGGAAAAAATCCAAGAAGAATCCCGGAACTTTTGACGTTCATTGAGTGGGAGAAATTAAAACAAAAAAGTTCCGAGTCCCGGAACTCTTGATGAACATGAGATGGGAGCACTGTGCCCAGGCAAACTTAGGTTTCTTTAATGGTGAGAGGCTGTATCAGGCATCGGAGAAACCCAAAAAATGAATTCAGACTCATAGATGGATTCAGACACTTCCAAGGGGGGGNGGGGGGGGGGGAGGGGGTCGAAAAGGAGGTTTGAGGAGCTTCTTCCAGAAAGTAATCGAAATTTTAAAGCAGCTAATATGCAGTTCGAGTCAATTTAGTCATGAATAATAAACAAATATAAGTGTCTCTCCTTCTTCTCTCCCCCTTCTCTCCTCCGTTCCTTCCCTTTTTCTCTCTTCACGGAGAAATAAACTTCGTGCATGGGACCCGAAGTTGAGGTCATATGGATCTCTGAAGTTTTCTGATCACGCATCCGAAAACTTGAGGTCGAGCTGCCGAAGTTCGGGTCAGACATCGAGGCACTTCGGTATGTACCGGAGTACTTCAGATGTGTGACCCGAACCCTTCGGTATATATCGAAGTGCTTCAGATGTCTGACCCGAACTTCGGCAGCTGGACCTCAAGTTTTTAGATACGGGATCCAAAAACTTCAGAGATCCACATGACCTCAACTTCGGGTCCCTCGCACGAAGTTTTTTTTCTCCGTGTTCCTTTTTTTTCGAGCGAACGGAAAGAGGGGGGCATATGACGTCTCTTCTCTGGCGTTAGGGCGTATCTCGATTTCCGCATGAGCCCCAGAAAGCATGAATTCATTTGTAAAACAGGTTTCACGTTGCAGACATTGAAATATACACCCTTTCGTCAGAGGAGCGACGATGAGTTTCATCTCGAGAACCAACGCTGATAGCGAAAACCTCATAACTCCTGTGGAAATCGATCGCAAATCCGTGGTTTTTAACCGCCGCGACAGAGCTGCCGTGATAGCGAAGGAAAGCCGTAAGTTCAAAACAAGAAGTCCTGATAAAATGGGCTCAGAAGCGTCTGAGCGGAAAATTTTATCGGAAGAAGCCTCCGTTTTTTGTAAAATCGCCACCAATTTTGCGAAAGACTCCGTTGCAATGCCTCTAACTCTACTCACAAACCTTTGCTTCTGGGCGAGGGGATGCGGGATGGTAATAATCCAACTCTGGATAGGTTTATACACACACACTTTAATCCGTAACTCAAAACTTCAACTTTAACTTACAACTTAACAACTTAAACACTAAGGCCGTGACGGCACGACTTCCTTAATCGATAGAACTTAGATTTGATGTGAAACTATCTTAACTCGAGACAACTTAAAACGTGAGCGGTTACAACCACTTAGGCCCGTGGCGCTAAGGGGGAGTTTCCAGGACCGACCGGAAGGAGGGAAGTGCCCGTGGCGACTTTAGCCCGTTGACGCGGAACGGTACGAGGAGACTGAGGTCCGCGCCTTTTGCCTAGATTTTCCAGGCCTCCTCAGTTTGGCCACGGCGTCCTTTCCCACGGGAAGATGCATCCCCAAATCTGCTGACCGAAGGACTTGTAAGCAGATTCGTGAACGCATCTCCGGTGGATCGGCCAGGTCCCGAACTCCGCCTGGGTGCCGGCTCTGGTGAAGCGCCTTCACGCGCCACCAGGCTTCTGATCTTGATTGTACTTAGATTTTGGGTAGTTCTGGCATCTCGGGTAAGGGACTCGGCCACCCGTGTCGCCAATCCGCGTCGTCCCGCGCGACTCCGCGACGCCCGTGCAGGTGCCTATTACTTATACTACCTGCATTACTCTAAATCCGTTCCACCGTGAAATCGTTTGAATGATCAAAAATCGACCAATTTTATCTCAATTACATAAGAAGGGTTTATTATTCATTTTCATGTCAGGCTAGTGTTACGCAAGACAGCCATAAGTGCTATCTTCTGCATGCTCTCGTGGTTCCGTTTTGGACACATAACAAACACATTTTCAGGTGAGAAATGGGTGAAAGAGGGCGGCTTTTTACTTGAAAGCACTGTTTTTATTGCCTCTCTGGAGGAATAATGTCCCTCACTGCTGTTTCGCATGAAACTACGTCACTTTTTGTGCAATTGCGGCTTTCTCATATGTCTCGTTTTCATAAAAGTATGATGAATTATGCTATCCCCGGTAAAAATTGGCCGAGACCTAAAGCCGGCTGTAAGATTTTCAATAGCTTCTGTAGCCGGCTGTACAATTTCGTATAGCCTTTTATAGCCGATGGCGACTAAGCAACAGCCAGACGATAAAGTTTATGCTAAACGTTACTAAATACGGATACTAGGACTGAGTTAGTTTTTCTCTTTTTTTGTGTCGTAGTATCTTGCTTTATTTTGCGAGGAAAGCTCCGTACTTTTGAAAGATGCCTGTTGTTCTTAATATGTTGGAGCGCCTTCAATTTCTTATGATACTGTGCAATACCTCTGGTGTGAAATAGTTGCTTCAGACGCACGCAGGGCACACTGCGGCGCGGCGGGCGGGCGGAGAGCACGAAACGCGCATTGGCGCCTACAAACCTAACAGGGATACTTCACGCATTGCGCAATGCGTGAAGTATCCCTGTTAGGTTTGTAGGCGCCAGTGCGTCGCCGCTCCGCTTTGTGTTAGGCTCTAATATTTAATCTCGCGGAGCCAGCGTTTTTCAACTCATGATTTTGAAATATTTGCACACTCTTTATGGATTATTCTCATTTTCATTGATGAAAAAAAATATGTTTTAAAGGAAAATATAACGTGTGTTATTTAGGTAGTTCCATATCAAACTTAATGATTTCCAAAGCATACGAATTTCTACACAATTTCTTATAGCCTTTTATAGCCAATGGCGATAAAGTGTAAAGCCCGGCGATAGGAACTATAGCCCGACTGTATAATTTTTTATAGCTTCGTATAGCCCGGCTATATAATTTGCTCCGCTTTCTACAGCCAGCTATATGATTTTCAATAGCCTTCTTTAGTCGGCTATGGGAACTCCTATGGTATTTTGAAGCGCAGCTCCTATCGCCAATTTTTACCAGGGATTTTAGCACATATCTTAAAAGCTACAGCTATAGCTACAGTTAAATTAATCTTAATGAAAACGAGACATATGAGAAAGCTGTAAGTGCACAAAAAATGGCGTAATTACAAAAACCAAAACACAGCAGTGAGTGATATTACGAGTACTTCTCCAGAGAGCTAATAAAAACAGAGATTTCAAGTGAAATGCCGCCTTCTTCTGTCGATTTCTGACTTGAACATGTGTTTGATGATGTGAGTGTCCCAAACGCAACCACAAAAGCATGCAGAAGATATATCTATAGTTGATAGCTATACAGGGTGTCCCAGAATTAAGTACGAATATTGAAGGAGTTGATTCTTTGGGTCAAAAGAAGACGTTTTTGTGGTATAACTTTTTTTTTCGAAAAACGCTTTTTCCGTGGGGGCCCCAGTATCCCCCTATTATCAGCTCCTATTATTCCCTATTAGTCCCTATTATCTCGAAAACAATGAGTTATAGCGAAAAAACGCCGGAGACTTTTTCTCATTATTTTTCAACGCCAAATCTGGTGGTGCCGTCAAAAATCAATTTTTGTTGCCAGAAACATTGTTTTTGACCACTTTAAGGTTCGGCACCCCCCTAAACCCTCCTCAAAGTTGTAAAACTTACTTCCAGTAACCAATTCTCTTTAATATTGGTTAATTAACATTGCCGCAGTGTTAAAAAGACGATTTTTTCCTCCAATTTTGGGAAGTCGTGGCGCCCAGGGAAAGCGTATTTGGAAAAAAATTTATACCACAAGAACGTCATTTTTGACCGAAAGAATCGACTCCTTCAATATTCGTATTTAATCCTGGGACACCGTGTTTATGAAAAGCTGGTCCAGCTATACTTCAGTTATTTCATCTCGAAGAGATTGGACGAATTTTGAAGGAAACTCGATTTCGAAAATTTGACACTTACTGTTCTCCTCGCTATCACGCGGCAGAGAGGCGTCCAGAGGTGCGAAAGTCCCGAAACTCGCACATCCTCACCAACGAACGAGGCGGTGACGCAATAGTTCCGACCGGGGGCGGACGAAGCGCCGAAGCTCGCGTCGTTTTGAAATCCCTAACCAGGAGTCGAATTATCGCTCAATTAGTGCTCGATTCCAGAAAAAAAGGCGTTGCTAGTGGCTCGTCCACGGGAGTCATTATGGAAGATTATTCCTCACAGCGGCGCTTAGCTCGCCTGCGCTGAGCTGCAAAAACGTCTTAAAAGCATTCGAATGTTGCCAATTTTCCTCGGGTAAAATATTCATTTTTTAGAGAAAAAATGATGGACGTAGCCAGAAATTTTGGGGGAGGGGAGGGATTCATTGGGGAGCCGTGAATGATCGATTATCGAAATTTTATCATTTAAAGCTATTGTAAAGAATCGATCATTAAGGTGTTCGTTTTGAACACCTTGTTTATCGATCCTTTTCCGTAGGTTTAAATGACAGAACAATCGATTTATCGCCAAGCACACCACGCCATTGGAGGGGTTTATCATAGGAGGGAGGGGCAGGTGTTTTAGGGTGAAAAATGTGGGAAAATCTCGTGAAATGTCGTTTTTCGCGGAAAATCCATTTTCCGAGTTTCCTGGAGCCCCATCTTCCTCCCACGACCCTGTGAAAACAACTTTCCTACTTTTCAACTCTGCGTTGAAGTCTCCAAGCCAGGAAATCCTCACAGTTAGGCTCCATGATCGATGCAGCTTTCATTGTCCTCTACTATTTCTGTCAAACGTTTACTATGAGGGATCGATTCTGTCCGCAAACAAATTTCCTACTTTTCCTGTCCGCGTTGAAGTCTCCGAGGCATCGGATTTGATTAGCCACGATAATCAGGAGCCGTTCAAGTATTACGTATATTACTCAGTTTTCAGTTTTCTCACAAGTTTTCCAGTATGTTAGGATTAAAGACAAAGATTTTGACATGACTTCATAGCCAGGGTGCCCGTTTCTGTAAGAACGAAAATTATAGAAACATGCATCATGGCTATGACGTTATGTCTAAATCTTTGTCTTTCATCTTAGAAAAGTTTTACACTCAAAGCTCGTTCGTTGCCGAAGTTGTGCTCAGAACATACGAGGATACCAGAAAACTTGTGAGTGATATATGCAATACTTGAACGGCTCTTGATTAATGATTATCGTGGCTAATCATATCCGTTGCTCGGAGACTTGAACGCTCAGTAGAAAAGTAGGAAATTTGTTTGGGGACAGAATCGATTCTTCGTTTAAGAGAAAGAGTGGAGGTCAAAATATTTCTCTTCAATTTCGGCAACGTTCAAATGAGCATACGTCATTTTTACTTAGCACAGCGGCGCTGCATCTAGGCTAGGGGGAGCGGAGGGGAGGGGGGTGTATTAGCGACAGTGATGGATGCTGCGACGGTGACTTTGACAATGCGCCCAGCCTGGGTGATGAACGGAGTGGCCTACTAACAAGAGGAAGGTCTCAGCCACTCCGAATACCGTTCCACGTCGACCCAAGTGCAAACACCTCCATCGTGGGATGGTCCGCGCGTTTTGGTGTTAGATGTTTGGTGGCGTTCCTCCCACAGAACGGTAGATCAAGTGGACCGAGTAAGACAGAGACGCACCAATTGGTCAGTTGCGCTGATCATAGAATCGTGTTTTAATGCGGCTTAATGGAGATGTTGCATGTGTGAGGGATTTGCGATTTGACCATTGATTCTTATGTAAAAGTTCGCGAGAAACACGATGGTGCCACTGGTTTTCTCTGAAATCATATCCCAAGCTCAAAAAAAGCTCTCAAAGTGAGGCCAAAATGGAGGGGATATCCCACCCTACCCTGGGACTCCACGTCTATTTCAAGACAAACTCTCCATGCAAAGATAGGGAGCAAATGCATTGACAGGGTTGCCACTTTATTTGGGGACTCCAAAACTGAAAACACGGCATCACTGCTAATGTATGTGCTCCCTATCTTTGCATGGAGAGTTTGTTTTGATGTAGAGGTGGACTCTCAGGGTAGGGTGGGATATCCCCTCCATTTTGGGCTCAACTTAAGAGCTTTTTTTGAGCTTGGGAGTCGATTTCAGAGAAAACTCTAGGCACCATCGTGTTTCTCGCGAACTTTTACATAAAAATCAACGGTCAAATCGCAAATTCCTCACACATGCAACATCTCCATTCCTGCAGATTACATGAAACTAATAAGATCTGTCCTGACAGCAACTTTCTACTTTCTATATTAACCGAGATATATCGCTTCGATAATTCGGTTTTTGACGTCATCCACAGCGGTATAGTGACACCCTTGGTTTCTTCCACCTTTGCTTAATCAGTCAATGAGATACACCTTTGCATTAGCTACTCAACGCAAAACTCGGATGAAAGTAAGGTGAAAGGAGCTAGAGGTGTCATTACCGCGGTAGATGGCGACTTCATAAACCGAATTTTTCCAAGCGCAATATCTCGGTTAATATCGAACGTGAGAAGTTGCTGTTTGGTCAGATTTTATTATTTTTAGCTGATCTACGAGAATCAAGCATCAAAACGCGATTCTGAGACCAGCAGAACTGACCCATTTGAATTTTGGAAAAATTGAGTTGAACTTTGACTCGGGCTGCAGGGTCAATTTTGCTGGCCGCAGAGGCGTGTTTTGATGTTTGGTTCTCGTGAATCAGCTAAACGGCAACTTTTTAAATTCAATGTTAACCGAGATATTGCGCTTTGAAAAACTCGGTTCATGACGTCATCCACCGCTGTAGCGACGGACACTGGAAAAAAAAAACACATTGGATCTAGAGTCCAGACTCTTAAAAACATCGACAAGAAAAAATACTCTTGATTCAATCAGATTTAAGCTTAAATCAAGAACCAGCCTCTTAATTTGAGCGGATTTCCTTTTGATTTAAGCTTAAATCTGATTGAATCAAGAGCCCTTGTTCTTGTCAATGTTTTCAAGAGTCTGGACTCTAGATCCAATGTGTTTTTTTTTTTTTTTTTTTCAGTGGATGTTAAGCGTCAACCAAATATTTTATCCAAATACACGAATTCGGTTGATCTAACCAAAAGAAAATTAACGCTTAGTATCCAAAATCGATAAAATTGTATGTAAGTTTTTTCCGGAAGAAAGAGTGATGGGGTTACCTGCGGCCGCCGTGGATGTAGACCTTCTGGTCATAGGCCATCCAGAGGAGGTAGAGAATGGCGAGGGGGTAGAATCGGGTGAAGAGGACGTGGTAGACGAGGATCCATCCGACGAAACCGCCGAAGACGAAGAGGATGAACCACGCGGCCGCCGCCAGGGTCTGCAGCCGCCGCTCCATCGGCACGAACAGTGGCGCGAACTTAATCCCCAACAGCTCCATTCCGCAAGATCTGAAAACGAAAACACATTCAATCTCATCGAAGAGCTTCCTCCATGTTAGTCAGATTTTACTTTAGAAACAGGACCTCTGGACCTTACTTAAACATGTCGTATGATCATTCAAGAGTTGCCAAATTTCCTGCACTGTATGCGTTTGGTTCATTTTGAAAGAGAACTATAAAGATTTCCCCTTGAAATTTTCCGACAATTTATATCTGATCTCGAATGAATTTCTCTGAAAAATTCGAAGAAGAGTTTTTTCAAATACCCCTTAAGTTTCATATTTTATCGCGGGAAATTCGGCGACATCTGAAAGCTCATACAATGTTCTTTGGCACGGCAGAAAGAATCTCAGTGGCGTAGCCGGAGAGTCCGAGGGCTAAAAATACCTGCTGGAGCGTTATTTTCCTTTAAAAATAACGTTTTCGGGGGAAAATTTTATTTGCATCCGGGGGAGTCTAGACTCCAGGACATCCTACCCCTGGCTACACCATTGAAGGGTTCTTATCACCACAGCCACCATTTTTGGTTTATACTCTTTCCAATTCTCAAATACCCCTGAAGTTTCATATTTTATCGCAGGAAATTCGACAACATCTGAAAGCTCATACGGTGTTCTTTGGCACGGCAGAAAGAATCCCAGCGGCGGCGTAGACAGTGAGTCCGAAGGCAAAAACTACCTGCCAGAGCGTAATTTTCTTTTGAAAATCATGAAAAATAACGTTTTTGGGGGAAAATTTTATTTGCATCTGGGGGAGTCTAGACTCCTGGACATCCTACCCCTGGCTACACCACTGAAGGGATCATATCACCACTTTTGGTTACCCGCAACCACAATTTTTGGTTTATACTCTCGATTGTAGATAAACTGACCCACGATTCCGCACCGGGTATTTTTCCGGGGGAGTCTAGACTCCTGGACATTCTACCCCTGGCTACACCATTGAAGGGTTCATATCACCACCACCATCTTTTTCGGTTTATACTCTCGATCTGTAGATAAACTGACCACGATTCCGCACCGTGTATTTTTCGAACCGCCCGAAGATTCTGCGTGGTTCCACCGGACGTGGTTCCTGGAAGAGCGTCCGTCGGTAAAGTTGTCACATCCATTGATGCGGAGCCGTGAACGGGCTCGCCTCCTCCCGCGAACCCCGGCAGAGCAAACATTCGGAACCTTGGATGCTCGCCGTGTCGCCGTGTCCGAGCCCCATCCTCGCGAGGAGTCGCGCATATCGCGCTTGAGTGTTTATTTGACTGGCCTCGCCCCGCGCACCCCCCCCCCCCCCCCC